TTGCGCTGGACAAGGACTGCAGTGTGGCGAGCTGGAGAAGGCACAAATATTGGATTTCCTTCTCTAGCAATTACAGAGATGCTCGAACAAAAGAGCTCTGCTGGAGAAACCAGACACCAGAAGTGGCATTTACTGGTTCCCATGAAAGCTCACAGCAACTATCAGAGGTGGGGTTTGTTGCCAGGTTACACCACCAGCCAAAGGGAGGGCTGGCCTAGCTACTAACTCTCAACGGTTCTGCATCTCCGGAGTCCTCCGCTGTTACCAGCTCGTGCCGTGTGCAAAGGAAAGAGTAAAGCATGAGCTATAGGGCATCCCAGAGGGAGAGGCAGCACCGTCCGTTCTCCCCTCGTGCGTGCACTGCTAAGTTATTGTGCAATCCACTTCACCCAGCAAACGTATTCACACTTTGCAAAATACCACAAGGTTGAAACCCTCTACATGTCTGTCAGAGGTAGGTGTCCCAAGACGAGCTATGCTGTTACCTGGGAATTTCTTATTGTATTTGAACTTTTACTTTGTGTCCTGCCTAATGCTCTAGTAGATTGTAACTGGAAGGAATTTTCTGTCTCCTCTTTTCGCGGATCGTGTGCCGAAACAGGGTGGGCTTTTTAATATATTGTATATCAGAGACTCTTACTGTCAAATTTAAAGTCTGACTTAGATTTTTATTGCAAACAAGTTTTTATTGTCCTCTGTCAGCTCTTCAGTACAGGACTCTCTTCTGTAAACAAGACAGTTGGGCACCTTATGGACAAAACTGCTTTAACATTGGGCAAATAGTCCTGATGAATATATTTTGCATCTCCTTCATGTAACCTCTTCTCCCTTTTAAATGTGTCTTACAGACAGTGGATATTAGTTCTTTCTTGTTTCTGTGAGGGGTTGGATGATATTCCGTAATCCTGAATTGTTCAACAAAAGCAGGAAAAATGTACCCTGCACCTCCAAATTTGTCAACCACAACGTTTTCCTTTAACTTGCTTATAGTTTTGTACTTGTATACATCAGTCATCTAACATATAAAATGGATACAACTGGTAATTAGTTTCCCACAACTGGTAATTAGTTTCGACATTAGTTTCCTGTTGTGCACATGATTCTGGTTGTTGGATTTCCCTGTTCTAGTAAAAAAAGGCAAATTTTCCTTAGAGTTCTCCACACCTGATCCAGTGAGCTGTGCAGAGGTATTCATCCCCTTTGACTTCTCCACATTTGTTTGTGTTACCACCTGGAACTAAAATGGATTTAATTGGTATTGCTACCACTTGACGTACAAAACATATTCAACTTGGCAAAGGTACAAAATGCTTTTATTGAGGCAGAAAAGTTATCCGAAAAACCCCCTGGCAGTTGCAGCCCAAGCACCTTTCTTAGCAATTACAGTTGTGAGTCTTTCTGGGTAGGTCTCTGCCATGACACTTCTGGTTCCCGCAAGGTTTGGCAACACTGCTGCTGCTCTGGGAAGCTGGATGGGCACTGTTGGTGAACAGCAGTCTTTCCATATATTTTTCAAGTCTTTCCATGGATTCCCAACTGGATCAGGGTTCAGCCTTTGGCTGGGCCATTCTAAGACCTTCAGGATGCTGTTTTTAAACCTCTCCAGTGTTACTTTGACTGTGGGTTGAGCATCACTGTCCTGTTAGAGGCTGAACCTCTGCTCTGGTTCCCAGTCCCTTGAACGAATTTTCCTTTAGAATTGCCCAGTATTTGGCTCCATCCATCTTGTCTTCAGTCTTGACCAGCTGCTGCCAAGGACAAGCATCCCCACAACCTGGTGCTGCCACCTTCAGGCTTCACTGTGGGGATGGTGTTCTCAGCACAATGAACACTGTTGGCTTTGCACTGTACACAGCATTTTAGAGTGGGGCCAACAAGTTCTGTTTTGATCTCATCAAACCAGAGAATCTCCATGTATTGCTTTGTCTCCCACATGCTTCCAAATGGGCTTTGTTTCAGCAATGGCTTTTTTTGCTACTCTTCCATCAATCCGAACTTTGTGAAACATCCAAGTGACAATTATCCCATGGACTGCTTCTCCCACCTGCAGCTTCTTCAGAGTTACCATTGACCTCTTGGTTGCTTCTGTGATTAATGCCTTTCTTACAGGGTCACTGAGTTTTGATGGACAGCCTTCTCTAGAAAGAGACGCAACTGAGCCAAATTATTTCCATTGGGTAATTATGGATTTAATGGTGCTCCAGGAGATGTTCATAGTTTGTTTGCTTACTTTTAATAATCCAACTTTACCCCATAATTGTTTTGACAGCTCTTTGTTTGTTTAGATATGTTCTTGCACAAACTGTGGGGTCTTCCAGAAGGAGGTATACTTAATCAGAGATCATGAAGCACTGGAATTGTTCACTGGTGTACACAATTACACTATGAGACTTCTGGAGGCAGTGGGCTGCACTGTATCTTCTTCAGAGATGCCACTGCAAAAGGGATAAGAGCATACGCAACCAACAAGCACCAGGTTCTTTTTGTTTACTTACCTTTTGAGCCATAATACAGATATTTTGTACCTTCACAGTGTTGAACATCTTGTGTACATGGAGTGGTAAGAATGCTAATAGCATCATCCATTTAATTCTAGTTTGTAACACAACAAAATGTGGAGAAGTCAAAGGTGTGTGAATACTTCTGCAAGGCACTGTAAATGTAAAATGCCAAATGGGTCTCTTACATTTCCCATCCCTCCCAGGGAATTGTTGAATGTCTCTAAGTTAAGAATGACACCTAACACTTAGCATTCATAGACTAATCTGGAGTCATCAAAGTACTTGCCACACCACTCTAAGCCACTCTGAAAATAAGCCGCCATGGATTGGCTTTTTGCTCAGTAACCCAACATATCGGCATTCAACCCCTTCATTTTTTGTCACTTAACTCCCTTGGGTTAGTTATCAGATATACATGTGGGTTACAGAACAATTCGTTGTGCCCTAAAAATACACAAATTTCAAGGCAGAACAGTTAGGAAGATTTGTAAATTTCCACAAATTTCAGGGCAAAGCCATAAAACTGAGATGGAAAATATGCAAATTTTGCAACACTGGATTTTTGCATCTGTGCGAGATTAAATATAAAATATTTTCAAAGATTGCAAACATGTTCAGGATGCTCTGATTTTATTAAAAAATTTAGGGTCATTAGGTAGACAGTGCAGAAAAGGGATGAGGGGGGATGGTGGTGGTGGCCTGAGCCAGATCACAAGGAATACCAGCGGTTTTGTAGTTCTTATTGTGTGGCTCTTTAGCCATTTTTAAGAACCCAGGATGAAATCGCCTTGCTGAGTTCAGATGTCACAGCAAGCCACCCTGGACAAATCAATAACAAACCATGGGTTCTCTAGGTGGATGTTTACAAAAATAATGCACCCTGTGGAACCCACACCAGGTGTGAAAGTCATGACAACCCCCTATGATGGGTTGTCATGTCACGCAAACCAAAGCAACTTATTTTAAATATCTCTGTATCACCATGCAATAAAACAAAATCTAAGGTTCTATAATTACAGTAAAACACAACAGTAAAATATAGCAATGCATAATTGGGTGATTTTGAAACATTTTCCGCAGAGATTAAAATTCCATATTTTAAGAAATGCTTTGAAATTTTGGTAATTAAAAAAGCCTTTATATGGTGCCAGACCATCTTTTAAAGCAATTACATAGGTGAGACATAACTAAGAAGGGCCTCCTGAGACAAATGCATTCAAAGAACATTATTTGTCAATTGCTACAACAACCTTATAAAGTAGGCCAATGTTAGTTCACTGAGTGACTTAAGGCCACCTAGTAAGCTTATAGCAGAAGTAAGATTTAAAGTGGAGGACACCTTACCCTCTGCTATATCACTATCCTGAACAAACTAGCCTGTGTTTTTAAACTGTAAGTCTGGAAGCAGCAGCTCTCCTAAGAGATATCTTTGTTAAGCTACCTTGGAAGTCTTTTTGGGCTCAAGGGAGGAATAAAAAGCTATACCGTAGTTAAATAAAAAATAAACAGATGCTTTAGTTGAACATCTTTAGCGCTGGATGGGCCCCTCCAGATTACATTAACTGGTAGAGAAGTAGGATGGCCACTTATGCATTGCTTAAAAAGAAGAACTGTATCAGGTTCTTCTTTTCAGTCCCCGCTCAGCCCTGGAGTTCACCAGGTGACTCTGGGCCAGTCTCAGCCTTTCGGGCCAACCTACCTTGCAGGTTTATTGCTCTGAGAATAAGATTGAGAGGAGAAGAACTATGCAAGCTGCCTTGAGTTCCTTGGAAGGAAAAAGGTGGGATATAAATATCATAAATAAAATATTAATTAGCAATACCAGTGATTGAAGTGGAAATATAATGCATCTCATCATAATGAAGACAACTGCGACCGTCTCTGTGTACTCACCGAAACTAAGCTACCTCACAGGGTTGTTGTGAGGGTAAGACGGAGAGCCACCTTGGGTGCCTTGCCAGAGGAAGGCATGCAGGATAGAAAGGGAACAACAAAGCAACCACAGTTCAGCAATTGCGAGGGTCCTCCCTTTCGGGTTTTGGATTATAATACACCCTTGGCATGGGCAGCTCTTCAAGCAGAGGGCCTTTCCCAGCCGGCTCTGGCAAAGAGAGAACGTCCCCGGTAAATCTGGACACGCTGCCAAGAAGGGCAGCGTGTGAGCACCCCTCCTCAGGCAGTGGCCCCGGGGCGAGTGACCCCACCAGGGGCTGTGCCAGGCCTGAGCCTAACTAGGCCCAGGCGCCCTGCAGTACCGCCTCCCACCAGCAGAGGCCGCTGTGGCGCCCGGGCCTCCGGAAGGTGCCCAATCCACTTCCTCCTTCCGGAGGGAAGGGCAGGGAGAGGATAGCCGGTCGCAGGTGGGACGGGCCTGGCGCCTGTGGGGAGCCGCCCCATCCGTGCCTGCCCGGGGGCAGCCTCTCCAGCTTCTCCCACACCACAGTTGGCCGTTTCCCTCCGGCCTTTAGGGCTGAGGTGGGCAACCCGCAGTTCTCAGATGCTTTGGCCTACCACTCCCATCATCCCTCCCTCACCACTGGCCATGCTGGCTGGGGCTGCTGGGAGTGGTAGGCCAAACAGCCGGAGGACAACCAGTGGCTCATTCTAGCGTGAAAGGATTTTCAGGCCTTTACTCCTCTTGAGCCAAGCAGGTAGGGTGGGACTTATTTTATGGGGAGATGCGCGTTCTCTGGGGCATCGCAGCCTTGGGTAGTCCAATGACCGCCACAGTTTCAGAGCATCACTTATTTTAAAAAGATTGGATCTCCCACTTGGAGGGCCATCCATGGTCATGTCATCTAGCAGATAGATGAAGTTTTCTAGGGCAGCAGGTTTTTTTCCTCCTTGCTAGTGGCAAGAATGAGGAGAAAGGTCAGGACTGCTGGGTGGCACAGGGAGTTGTCCTCTTGCCCAGCTTAGCATCTCTGGGAGTTACAAGGCAGGAGAGCCTTTGCAGATTTGACCTCACCCTCCCACGACCTTTCAAAGTAAGGGGGATAGTGTCCCAGCACATACCTGAGTTTAGAAAGTATTGATTGATTTCAAATGAGGTGCCAGTTTTTGAAAGCTGACATTTCCCTCAGAGGGCAAGAGGCCTGATCTGTTGCTACAGACAGTCATTAGCCTGGGTAGAAACCACCCAGTCAGACACTTTTGACACTGTTGTTCTATAACCCACTATTAACCTTCCCCATTCTCCTTCCCACATCCACCCTCCTCTCACCCACCATCTTCAACCAGGTGCCTTTTTTAGTTTCACTTTTCCTACAACTAAGTAGAATTTGGGGTGAGAGATAGGCAAGGAAGTGCGAAATGACATTTTCCAGTACTTTACACTACTATATTAATAGATTGAAAGAAAAGTAATGCTTTTGCCAAGGCATAGATATGCTTTGTTATTATAAAGACTTTTTGTAAAACTCCCAGTGCTCTCTTCTACAATGCAATTGTAGAATTGTGTGAATGATAGTGTGCTAGATTTTAGTGAGCACAAACCCTTTCCAGATCTCCCCTCTACCCAAACACATTTGCTAAAAGGGGATAATAATTGTACCGGGACAATGCACCTGGAGCACCTTGTATACTTACAGTGTGCTATCTAAGTGCTTAATGTCATTACATTACTGCTTATTTAAGAAGTTTGTGCACCAGGCAGAAGACTGGCAGCACAGCCTGATTAAGAAATGCCAAACCATTTGAAAAGTACCCACTTTACTTCAATAATGCCTGGGAGGTCAGAGAGACCATTGCAATTTTGGTGCTGTGGACATGAGCTTTTAAGTCGGAGTCTCCATGAAGGAGCCCATTTGAAATTCTTGTCACAATTCAGTGAGATGTTAAACCAGAGTCTGGACAGCACTACTCCAAACTCGAGGCTCCCATGATTTAGTATTTCTTCATGGTATTTTTTTTGCATACTACATGTCTGTGAGAAGATTGCGAGCCCCACCTCCTCGCGGTTTTCTGTGTGCAATGAACTGCATGCAGTAATGCGAACCTCTTCTTGTAGTCTGAAATGGTGCAGCCCAGGCAGAGATTAATCACTAGGGCTCAGGACCAGCCTTGGGATATAGCCTATAGCAGGTGCATCATATTTTCACATGCCTGTCTCATTCAAATGTGCAGTAGGAGTTGAGCGGCTTACTTTAATGGCAGAAGAGCGACACTGCCCTCTCTCTCTTTCTACATTTTACCCTCTCTAGGTCTAATGTGTTAGCTACTGTTCTTTGTCCCTGGTTCTCATCTAGAATCTAAGCCAGGCAAGGAGAAAAGCCTAGATATTTGGCTGGGATATTTGGCTTTCAGTTAAAGGAGAAATAGGTGAAATGTGGTGTCAGCCTCTCATCTCCCTGGTACAACCTTGTCTAACTGCCATACATATGTGTTGGACTACAACTCTAACATGCTGAGAGTTGTGGTCTTGCACATCTGGAGGCCACCAGTTTAGGGAACAGAGCCAAACAATCAGGTCATCTGCATGTGCTTGTTGCTGAACTTTACTCTGTACTTTTGAGAAGCACTGAGCTATGCAGCTGAAATTTGCCAGTTGTCATCAGTATATTGTATTTGGTGTGTTGAGACATGACCAAACTTATTCAAATAGGTGATTGCATCAGGTTTCAATATGCATCCTTTCAAAGTCACATCCACATAAGCAGGGGAAAGTTGAATGAGCTAGGGCTCAGAGATTTTGTTTCTGACATTTAAAAATGTTGCCCTGTACCCTGACAATATGAAAACATCTGGCTTGTTTTCTAAGCGTTCTAATATCTAAAGGTGTGTTCTACTTGTGGAGTTTTTAAATACTAACCAGATCTATATTATTTTAGGGTGTTGTAAAATCCTTTTAGAGTTGTCAAACTGGACAAAGGCCCTTTGAGTTATAAAAAACTTGGTGCTAGATCTGATTTGTTATTATTTTATATTGTTAATTCATTTTGTGTTTTTAGTGTATTATATTTTAATTGATGTTTTGTGAGCCGCCCCGAGGTTTCAGCGAATGGGGCGGCATAGAAATTTTCTAAATAAAATAAAATAAAAATAAATTTGTTATTGTTCTATGATACCTATGAGGGGAAGGTACATATATTGGCTTAAATCAGAATAAATACTGATAGTACAGAGAAAAGACAGTAGGAAGAGGGAGATAAGAGTGAAGGGCAGGACAGTTAGTTGTACAATTGATTTAAAAACCCTGTACAGAATAGATGAGTTGTTGAGAATGTAAAAAATGGAGTGATAGAGGCAGGTAAGATGCAAGCTAGCATCAAAAAAAAGACTACACATCCCATAATGAATCTGTTACTCTTGAAGTGCCATAAGACATTGGTCCTCTTTGGATGTCGCAACAATGTGCGCATGAATGCACGTTAGTCCCTGCTGCCTGATTGCTTTCACTGGGACTAAACAACCCAAGGACGTGCCATCCCTGGGTTGTTTAACCTAATATCTGAACTGGAATTCTTAGTTGCCAGACAATGGTTGGAACACCTGGGATCCAACTCTGGGTTGTTTCTCACCCAGCAACTTAGAACTCCAGTTTCTGAAGTCTTGCAAAGCACGGGAGGATGGAGTGTTGTCAGGTTCTTTAGCCCCTGGGCAGCAGAGGCAAGACAATGGCAGGGGCCAGTGTGTTCCTGCTTGTTCACAACAGCCCAAAACTTGGAAAAAAATCCACTGGTTCTTGCAATTTCTGAAGCAGGCCATTGTTGTATTTCTTAGAACAGATTTAGTATAGTTACTCCCTAATAAATCACCTTGAGTGTGTAGTGAAAACCAAGCTATCGATTCAGGTTTTTAAAATAAGTTAAACAAATAGTTTCTTGGTGAAAGTTGCGTAGCAACACTTTCAATTTTTTTTTTTTAAAGTTCTGTTTCAACAGAGCAAAATATATAATCCTTTAAGAAATAGATAATTGGTTTCTTAAAATACACAACATTTAGCAAACATGAGTTTTGACATAAAATATAATATATACATACTTATAATACCTGAGTGTATCTGATTTTATTAAATTGATTTCTTATGTCATAATACAAATTGTTTTTATCTCTTGCAGATTTTGCAAAAATGAGCAAGAATATTCAGGAGCTACGGTAGTACCTATTCTTATGCCATTTTAAACATTTCTATAATAACCTGCAGCTAACATTTTTGTCACAGGAATTCCCATGCTACTTAGTTCTTTTATAGGAGAATAACATAGTAAAGCATTGTCTGTTAATCCAAACTATTCTGTTTGGATAGGAAACACATAATCACGGGGGGGGGGGGGGGGGAGAGAGAGAGAGAGAGAGAAAGTATAAGGTATGTATTTTTATTTATTTATTTATTTATCAATTTATAGCCTGCCTTTTTCCTACAAAGGGCTCAAGGCAGCTTACATCATTCCCCTCCTCCATCTTATCCCCACAACAACAACCCTTTGAGGAAGGTTGGGCTGAGAGTCTGTGACTGGCCCAAAGTCACCCAGTTGGCTCCATGGCTGAGCGGGGACTAGAACCCAGATCGTCTGAGTCCCAGTCCCATGCTCCTCACCACTACACCACACTGGCTCTCTTCTAATGTTTTACTTTACTAATGTTTTACTTTCACTGTGCTTTAAGAATGTGTTATAAATGAAATCATTGGACAATGTTGTGAAACTGACTAGCTAGCCGTTCCAGTCATGTCCTCTTATATGATTGCACAGGGAAGCACTGCAAAGGCAAACCCAAGAGACCTTGAAACTCCAGGAGGAAGCCACCAAGTTCTCCATGGAATCCTTGGCACGTCGAGAAGGAGCCTCTTCACCTTCTGTGTTGACAAGTTCAGGTAACTGCAAACTATATGCTAACAAAATGGAGAGTGCCTTGCAGCTTGCTTTTACGCAGATGGGCATGATACATTTTTAAAGCAAATAGTTTAAGCCAATAGAATCTAGGAATCCAGGAAAACTCTGCTCACTTTGCATGTTGGACAAATCTCCGCCTTCTCCTTGAGGTTTGCCTGTGATACAGTGATATTGAATTATGCATTTTCTTACCTGTTTCCCATCTCATTAGCTGCCACTGCTTGGGCTGGTGGGAGCTGTTAAACACACAATTTAACAATGACCTACATCTTGGGAGAAAGGGAGAACATGATATGAGGAGCTGTTATTGGTGGCCATCTGATAACATCCCCATGTCTATGTTATGCTTATGTAAACAGTTATCCTGGGGTGGCAAGATACTCTTGAACATATTTCAGCCCAGCATATTACACATTCAAGAGATGACTGAAAAGATAATAGTGGATTGAAATAGAACCGAGAATCCCTTGGAATAGCTAAGTCCCCTGACTCACAGTCATGAGGCTGTTAAATGTCAGCTAGGTTATCTCTGGTCCAGTTCTGTCAAGAAACACCATGATCTGTTGATGTCCTAGGTGAAGTAAGGCTAAAGCGAGGTTAAACCACCCCGAAACGCCTTCAAAAGGTAAATTCCCTCCGAAAGAATTTATTGTGCTATCGATTTAAACAGTTGTAGCAGCATCTGACACTCTTTTTGGTCTCAGTTGGCATAGATGTGGGTGGCTATGGAGGAGCTAAGTGGTCAGTCCCCACAGTCGCTTGCATTATGAGTGATACTGCTGCACTTTTTTTTGTGTCGCTGCCTTAGGTGGTTCTGTTCAATTTGTGGTCAGTGGAAATCTACCATCTGCCAGCATGCGCAGCACAGGGATGGAGAGCTCTGCTTACTCTACCGCTAGTGCTGCCAGCTCTAGCCCCCCCTAAACTTACACATACTCAACTTGAACCGGACACTGACAGCCAGAAAAGGCCCAGTAACTATCCAAAGAAAGAGCAAGTCGATTCTATCTTGGAAGAATATGTGCAGCAAGTCAGAGACCTGCAGAAGAGGCTAAGTGAAGTGAGTTCCAAACTTTGCATAAGACCACTGATGCCATTTCACCATAGAGAATGCATGTTTCAGGCCTATGTATTCTTTGCAATAAAACATAGAATACAGACACTCCCCTCCCACTGCATAACAACTCTTTGCCAAGTTAACTTACATTCAACTAAGAAAACCTAAAGTGTGCAGCCTGTATAAATAGTAAAAATTAAGGACATTTACTTTACTTTGACTGATTTGTCTTGCTTCTGCTTGTTATGAGAAGGGACAATGGCTGCTGGAACAGAAATCCTGCTGAATTCCCTCTCTTCCACTATCAGTTTAGAAATCCTGCTGAATTCCCTCTCTTCCACTATCAGTTTAGAAATCCTGCTGAATTCCCTCTCTTCCACTATCAGTTTCCCAGAAACTTTTGCAGCTATTTTTTTGAACTGTAAGAGTTAGAAACTTGCTCTTTTAAAAGCACATATTGAGAATACGAAGTTCTGTGGCCCGTACCAAATCATCTAATTTTTCTGCACTTTCATGCACATGCCTGATTACAACAGGATTTATCTGTCCCGCAAGTGCTATTGCCCTGATGCTGTCGCATCATAATCTTGATCTTGGCTCAGTGGCTGCTGGAGCAGAGACAGGCCTGGCTCAGGTTCTTAGGATGGATGCCCTGTTCATCCTGTTTGTTTCTGTAGTTGCTGTTTAATATTAGTTCTGACCGATGTGTGCACAGAACCCAGAAACAATGTGGCTCCTGCCAAGACAGCTTGCCACCTCAGCTGCAGTGGGTATGCGAAATGGGAGCACTCAAGGCTTCACAAATGCATGGAAGAGACACATATTTGAGACACGTGTGTGTCATGTTAATTGTGTGCATGCTGTTTCAAGGGGAATGAGTATGATCACGTGGGCAGGTGGGTTAACCCTCCCACTTATTCCCAGGTAAAATATTCTCCCATCATCCCTGCTGCTGGGGAAATCAGTGCTGATACCAATGGAGTCTTCTCTTCCAATGCAAACAGTGGAAGGGTCCGTTTTCATTGGAGTCAGAGCAGAAGGGAAAGATATTCCCTATCCCTAGCAGTGCTGATCCTATTTCAACTCCTCTGCAGCTGCTGCTTGCATTAAACACAATGCACAAACAAGGATATTACTTGCATGTTGAATTTGGCCCTGAGGAGGAAAATACGGTGAGACTGGAGGATGGACAGAAAGAAGATGATGAGAAAGCACTTAAAAAACAGTTGTTCTGTCTATAATACAAACTCAAGTCGATTTGTTGGCTGCCTTGTTTTCCTCCAAAGGGTGCTGGGGGTTGGAATGTTGAGGGTGCTGAGAGTCTGTTAAAGACCCTCAGGCAACCAGACAGACAGTTGACAAAGTGTCCCCAGGAATGAGGAATGGCTCTTAGAATGAGGCTGCCCCAGTCATCGAAGGAGAGAAGGCACGGTTGCAGGAATAGGAGGAGGTGACATAACAGAGTATATGGAATGGAGGGGGAAATAAAAGCTGTAATTCAAAACGGAGAAGACAAGAATGTAGAGAGTTTTAAAAGGACGAACTAGAATTTTGTCTTTGATTCCTGAATAGCACTAATGTAAAATTTCTGTTAAATAGAAATTATCTGCCATGTCTAACTGAGATCTTTTACACTCAACATACTGATAGAATGACCAGGAGCCAGTTTATTCATCGCAATATTGCAAGACGTGTTACCTGAATCTGAAAACAATATCCCCATTTGTCCACACGATATTCAGTCTTGTATTCAGAACTGTTTCATGATCTTATTTCAATGTCCTTCAGGCTCAAGAGCAACATGAGCAACAGAAATTTGGTTTAAGACAGACAATAATTGAGTTGCAGACAAACCTTCGGGATGTGATAAGGGAAAAAGACTCCATTACTGATCTGAGGTGAGCATTCTTACAGGAGGTGAGCATAAAACAGGAATGGGCACTATTTCTAAGACTAACTGGTTGTTCGCATGACACAGTGGCATTCAAGGCCAAGTTGTGGGTTAATTAATTAATAGTTAATCTTCACAATTTGTAGGGTTGCATGCTACACACTAGCTACTCCCAGGTTCCCCAAACAGTCCATTCTAAGGTTGTTAGCCTGATGGCAGAACCCTGGTGCTTTGGGTTATTCCTGGGTTTAAAAGCCCAAATGGAACTTTATTCCCAACCAATTTCAACAAGTCAGTTTCTGTCTTTTCTGCTGGCTGTATTTAAGCAGTTCTTCTGGTGCTTAAGGAAGTTATCTAGGCTTTTTTAGTTTGAAGGCCTTTCATAGAGAAATGAGATTTCAGCACTTAAGTTGATAGTCGTTAATGATTCTGTTATTTTTAATGAATGTGTGAGTTTAGATATTTTAGTGATATTCTATGTTGAAGTTTTACCACTTAGGTGCTTGGGGCTGATAATTCGGTTACAAATATAATAGTTCTCTTCTGTGTCTGACCTTTTACATGATATAAGTGTCAGGTAAATTTAAAGTGACATAGGGAACTATGCCCAGTATGAGTTTGCAAAGAAAATAATAAACAGCTTTCCCGAACCAGATGCACTTCACTTCTGTTGGCCTATGACTCCCAACATCCCTCGCCAGCTGAAAGGTAGCAGCTTAGGAAAGGCTGCTGCCAGATGGCTTAAATACAAAGTGTGCAGAGCTCTGACCCTCTGTTTCCTACTCATAAGTAAGTGTGCAGGGCTCTGATCCTAATCAGGACTACCATGTCCAAGTAGGAGAGATTTAAATCTTTTCCCTCAGTGCTTTTCTTCTAAATTTTCCACACATACCTGCACATGAGGGATTTAGAAAGGAGGGAGGGAGGAGGAGGAGGAGGAAGGAAGGAAGGAGGTGGAGGAAGGAAGGGAAGAAAACTCCATTAGTGCCAGTAGAGGTCAAAACTTTCCCTACTCGTGAGTGGTGCTCCTGATCTGAATAGGGGCTTTTCACCCTGAATTGTGAGAAAAAAGAGCAGGGTCAGCTACATGCTGTGTGTTAAACACCTTATCTGGTTTTACTCACAGTTGCAGATAGAGCTGCCTGAGACTCCTAAATGGCATATTTCCTATTTTGATCTGCAGACGAAAAGAAACCCAGACCCAAGAGGATCTCAGCAGCAAGATGAAGTCATCAATTAATGAGCTGCAGACAGCCAATCTGCTTCAGGAGGAGATGCTGAAGGAAGCCAACAACCAGGCAGAGCATCTCAGAAAGATGATACGTGGCCACGAAGATGTGCTCCAGGAACTCCGAAATGTTTTAATGAACTTTGAAGAAAAGTCAAACAAGAAAATCTATGAACACGAGAACATCAGCAGTCTCCATGTCTGCAACTTGCCCACCGCTTTTGCCAAAGTCCTGCGCGACCTAGATTCAGAGGTGTCTCATCTCAAAGGCAGGCTTAGCCCAGTAAGTTTGGCCCTTCTGCTAATTCTGAAGGAAGGTCTTGCATAAGGGCACTGTATGTTCCGGAATGGAGAGGGAAACCCTGGCATAATTGGGGCAGATTACTAGGCTGTTCCTGACCGGCTCACGGGAGCCAAATACTGGCATGTGCTTTTGTCAGTTCTACACTGGACACAATAGCTTTTTCGCGGAATAGATTCAGGTCAGCCTTCTAAACCTAGCCACAATGCTTTTTTTCTTCCCGCAACCATAGGCCACATGCCTGGCACGCAGCGCCACGTGCTTCGGGTCCCTTTGCAATCACCGTGGCTTAAGTGGAAATAGCACAGTCCTGGGTGGCCCTTCTAATTGGACTCAAGCCCAGAGCAGACCTGCAAGTGACAGATCTGTGTGTCAAAGTAGTGTCACCCTCGATTTCCAAGGGTTGGCCTCAGACAGAGGAATGGGGAGGTTTAAAGTATAGCAAGGGAGAGTGGGAGGTTAAAAGTCTTTGCTCCTGAAATTTCTTCTCCTTTTGTTGGACTATCAGAAATAATCCCTGTTTGAAAAGAAAAGACTGGGGAGAAGCGATTCCAAGAGGAAAGAGCTGATTGGAGAAAACTTGGATCCTCACCACTCTGCCCATTGGGTGCTTCTGAGCTCCCTTCCTTGTGATCCGTAGGAATTAGTCACAATCCAGGTTGTGATGGTGTGCCATCATTCTGTTTCCTTTTGCATCCAAAAGTAAGGGAGTCAGTCCTAAAATTAGGAAGTGTGTGGCTGGCCTTTTAAAAGTTAATAGCAGGTGGGAGGATCCAGAACTGAAATGAGTAGGGGGTGCCCTTAAACTTCCTTCTACCACTAATTTGGATCAGGGTCCCAAAGTCAGCAATTTGCATTGGAGTGTAAAGCGTGTAAAACCATTCCATAAAGTATTCTTAATATGAATTATTAAAATTAATTAAGTTACAAAAATATTTTCTCACTTTTCTCAGGAAAATATGGCCCAAAGCCAAATTGTTTAAATCTATAGTTTGCCCTGGCATATTTGCTTAATTCACTTTAAGGAGCAGTTTTGAGGAAGCCCAAACCATCTGAACAAAAACCTTCCCACTGCTTTTGCCCTGGGAATAATGCTGCCAATGGCAGTTTTCCTCCCCGTGTGAAGACAGGCTGGGAAAGGATCTCCCTGTTCCTTTTCCATGGTTCGGATCCTGATTCCACCTTCCCCGCCATGGCTGCTATCTACAAAAAGAAAGAAAGACTGATGGACATAGACACACCCACCACCCCATGGCATTCAACATACCATTTGGTCACAGTAACTTAGAATAAATAATCCCAGTGATACAAATTAAGCATTTCTGATGTAAGGCGGATACTTTGACACTTTTCTTTTTCTTCTGGGGTTGTTCTGTGTATTCTTTCAGGATTCTCCTTTCCATGCCTGCTGCCAGATTCAGTTGTTTTGGTTGGAGACCATCCAGTTTCAGATTTCATTCTGAATGTCTCATGGTTTACTGGAAATCCCAAAGGCCATGAGAAGCTCCATCATTAGTATGAATCGCTTCAGGCTGGTTGCAGCAGATAAGCACAATAATTTTAGGCCAGAGGATCAATGGCTCCACACACCAGTCCAGGGCCATTAGTCTCTGTCTTCCATTTGCAGTCTTCAGTTTTAATACAGAATTGTCACAGTGAGCATAAACGTGCCAGAACATGGACTCATTTGGCTAAGCATTGACTTGGCTGGTGGGAAGGGGTCAAGAGGTCCTCTGTCATGTGACAAATATATTGATGCAAACCGTCATTTCATAAATCAAAATAGACCTTCCCAAAGACTGCTAAGGGTAAATCTGTCTTGTAAGAGTATGATGAGTGGGAGGCTAGAGAACATTTGAGAAGAGACCAGAGCTCAGGGGTGCACCTTTGTGTGCAGAATCCCACAGGTCTAATCATTGACATCTCCATGTGAAGGAGCTTCGGTGAAAGAGTTGGGGGAGATGTCTTCTTGAGAACTTGCATGTCTCCCAGAATATACAGCTAAGCTAGACAGACCATTTGTCTGAGTCAAATCCAGCCCTCTGGAGCTCTCGACATGGCTAGTCCCCCTTCGCCTGGCCTCACCCATGTCCCCCAAACAACCATCAATTGGTGATTTCCCTGCTTTCATGCACCTATTTCCTTGCTGAAAGGTTAAAATTCCTTTCCTAGTTACCAGCAGTGAGCTTTAAGCTACAAAATGCTTGCCTTTATTATATTTTTGCATTGTTGGCTCCATCCCTTTTGCCTTCATTCCCATGCAGCACTGGAATGCAGCCCCAGAGAGCTGACCTGAAATTGAATTCGGCACTCAGTCTGAAAGAGGCTCCCCACCCTTCAGTAAAAGGCAACTGTATAAACCCATGGGATCTCCCCCCTCCCTCCAGATGGTGACGCTTAAGACAGTGTTCTGCCAAGTTTGGGGGCAGATCCTAGGCAATTGCTAAGCCTGAGGAAAATAGACAGCCAGCCAGGCTGATGTCCCCGCTCAATTATGCTGCCAGAAGTTGCGTTGTATTTATGTATTTAAAATGCTGTATACCATTCTTTATAAGCTTTCAGAAGGGTATACAGTCAATAAAAATCATTTTACACAGAACATAGCATAAACTTTGATGTTGATATGATATCCTAAACATTCAAATATAATAAGCAACTTTTAAACAAGTAAATAATACATAACACAATATAACAACTAAACCACAGTGGCCAATGACCATATAAATAAAACCAGTATAAAAACAGAGTCATCCTACTCAACACTTAAAATAACCAGAATATAAAAAGGTTTTAACCTGGCGCCAAAATGTATAAGGGGCAGCACCAGGCACAACTCACCTGGAGCTGAATTCATAGTCAGGGGACCACAGCCAAGAAGGCCCTTCCCCTTACTTCTTTTAAAGCAAGCTCTCAAAGAAGGACCTTTGTGGATGATCTTAGGGTCTAGGCAAGGTGTGCATGGAAAGAGATGTTCCTTTAGATATCGAGGCCCATTTATCTAGGGATGCTTTCACACAAGAATAATGACTCATTTGGCTGTAAGTTGTGATGTTTTATTAATAATAGATGGAAGAAAAACTTGAAGGGATGAGGAGAGAATCACACTGCAAAACACAGCTTTTGCTCCAACAGCATCAAGAGAGGTACATTGTTCTCTTTTTTCTTGTTGTAGATGTATTTAATTTATTTATTTCACACTGTTCATCAAAGTAGTCAAAAACATCAGCAATCATAAAACAAATAAAACCAGACAAACAATAAAGCAGCAGTTAAGTGTAAAGCAACATGGTTTTTAAAAACCCAGCAATATACAGGGTGTATTGAAAGCTAGTAAATAGATTCAGTTCAGCAGCTCGCAAAGGCAGTCTGAACTAGACATAGGAGCCTATGTGGTGTAGTGGTCAAGAGCGTGAGGCTGGGACTCGGGCAATCTGGATTCTAGTCCCTGCTCAGAGTCAACTGGGTGACTTTGCGCCAGTCACAGACTGTCAGCCCCACCTACCTCACAGGGCTGTTGTTGTGGGGTTGAGATTGAGAACAGGAGAGGAGAGTGCTGTAAGCTGCCCTGCATTCTTTGTAAGAAAAATGGTGGGATAAAAATCTAATAAAATAGGAGAACTAAAGGCACTGAAGGTCTTAAGAAAATAAAAAGATCTCTCTGGGGAGTTTTAGTGAGAGTAGCTGTCCACTTGTATGAGGGAAAGTAAAGAGGAGCATATGAGGACAAAACTGGGGCGGAGAGACCTGACCTTGTTCTCGGTCCTTTGGTATTCCCAGTCATTAAACATTGGTCCTTCTAGAATCTGCTTTGCCCCCCCCTCCCCCCGATGCCCAGCACTGACTTCTGTACAGGTAGATTGCCGATGTCTTACTGCCGTCTCTCCATTTCTGGTTTATAACAGCATTGAGAGGCTGATCAGTGAACATGAACAGGAATTGGAAATACTGAGTGAAAAAGTGAATGCCTCCCGAAGCCACGCGAGCAATATCCAGACCCAGCTGGAAATCATTCAGTACGTGTCTCAGCCATGCATCTCCACAAGGGCCCCAAAGCAGACACCAGCTGTTCAATGTACACACTTTGGCTACTTGTATTAGAGGGCTTCCATCAATTACTAGGTTTGACTTGGGATTCATTAACTTTTGGAGCTAGAAATCTGGGACAAGCAAAGCAGGTAGGCATGACTTCCTTTATCCCTTCCCAGGCAAAATTAAGAAAAAGGAGAGATGCTTCAGTAACACACTGAAAATTCAAAGTAGGTCGTGACTGGAAACATGACCAGCAACTAGGCTCCTGTATTCCTAAATAAGTGATGTTGATTTAAACAGTTTTACATAGTCCAAGAGCTCACCATCTGATACCAGTTTCAGAACAATGGAGAATTGCACTTGGGAATTCAAAGTATTTTTTTTCTGGTTCTGTAGTAAGCCTTATAGGATTTACTTCAGTAAATCAATTTGATTTATTCTCTTTCTGGATCACCCTGTTTCAAGGCCTTGGGGCAGGTTACAATTTAAGAACTGCTCATATATTTCTAGCCCACATACTTCATCAGGTACGTATGTAGCCTCCTGTGTGTAGACGTGTGTGCTTTGGTGTGTAGAGATAACACTTGTGCAGCCCTTGGTCCCGCCCACAGTATCAGGTGTGGCTGTTGGGCTGCAAGGGTTGGATACTTCTGGATCAGAATATAAGAAGTCATGTAAGTAGGTAACCATATCTAATTCCCCATTCTGTTTCCAGCAGTTGTCAGGCCAATTCCTCTGGAGACCTCTGTGCCAGGCAGGAAGGGTACTGTGTTACCCTGTTGCTTGTCTCCAGCATCAAAGACCATGGAACTTCCATCAGGTTCCATAGCCAATAGTTGCTGATGGATATATCCTCGATTAACACTAACCCTTTTGAAACCCTGTCCAAACTAGGAGCCTTCCCTGAAACTTGCAGCGCTGATTTTTATCACTTAAGTTGCAATGCTATGCATTTTTAAGCAAAGAAAACAAAAGTCCTACAACTTTAAGCTGAGAGGTGTGAGATTTTCTTCTGTCTAAACATGTATAGGCTTCTGTCCTTGACATGTTGCTTAGATCACTGCCATCTTTCTGTTTCCTGACAGAACTATTGATTCCTGTAGTAGCCAAACTTTTATTTTGGTTTCAAGCTGCTTATTTTCTCTCTTCCTTCTATGTTATTCCCTAGAGAACAAGCAAGAAACCAAAATTCATTGTACATGCGCCAAATCAGTCAGCTGGAAAGCACAGTGTCTCAGCTGCGTTCTGAGCAACGAGAGTCAAAGAGGATATCTCAGGACAGGGTGGGTGCAGAAAAGATATTGGTGATACCTGCAGTTAAAATAGGTGTATGTGCGTAATAATCATAAATAGAATGCATTCAAGTTTTGGAGAGTAGGAATAAAAACCAGAAGCTAACAGCCCAGTATTGGTTAATGAAAACATCATTGGCATCAGTGTGGCTTTGGAGGGCCCCATTAACATCTGTGTTAAAGATGCTGTAATGAAGGCTTCCATAACCAGGTGCCTTCCAGATGTGTCCTCCAGACTACAACTCCCATCATTCCTGACCATTAGCCCACGCTGGCTGTGAGAGATGTGGGCTGTAGTCCAGAACTTTTGTAGGGGAGCTGGCTGGGGAAGGATGCATGCTATTTCATCCGGCTGAAGTCACAAGGTAGGAGCGTACTGCGTGGCTCCATCCCAAGCTGATGGGGACCCAGCTCCCAAGAGGGGTGGTGATGGAATGGAAAGCAGCCACGTGGTTAGCTTTTCCCATGAAAGCTTTGTTGTATAATGTAACCAGAGCAATATGGGAAGGAGAAACCTTGCAGCGCCCTCTCCATCATGGAGATAACTTCTGAGGGCATCTTTGGCTTGAAGTGTAAAGCTGCAGGGCCAAAGGTACACTCTAGACTGAAGGGTGATGTTCTCATGTGCCCTTTGTTTTATGCATGACTTTATTTCTGCCACCTCACCCCTCAGAATCAAGATACATGCTGGCCTTTTCCAGCCTGACACCATCCAAATATGGTAGACTGCAACGTGGGTGATGGGAGTTGTAGTCAAATGCATCCAGAAGGCAACAGGTTGGAGAAGTCTGCTATCTTTGAGAAATGTTTATGGCCTGGTTGCCCTTGGAGGTGTAGTTTTTGTTCAGCTGTAGACTGGAATTGGCTCAGGCCAAGAGAGAACGTGATGCCGTCCTTTCCTCTCTCCCCACCCCCTGCCAATGCTTGTGCTTCAGTACTGACATTGTCATTTGACTTCTCCGCAGTGTCTGCTTAGGCTTCCTGGCACACAGTGCTTGGCAGGTTTCTCTATTTCTGATGGAGAACTGGGTTGCATTGTAGTGTTACTGAAATGCTCCATTAGAGAAAATTCCCAAGAAATCCAAAATCAGATTGCAGAGTAGTGGATAGCCACAGAGATTTTTGAAAGCAGTGCCAGTGCTTTATGAAATTCTACATGCCTTTTACTGGATGTTCCATGCCCAATAGTTGCATTGGTGATGGCGCAAAGAGCTACTTACACCTCCTCTTGCGCAAGCATCATAGGAATAAGTGGGAGTTGCTCAAGAGGAGCACATGGGCTGTACTATGAATTGTGCTGTATTTCAAAGCAAATACCTTGTCCTGTGGGGAGCAGAGCATAAGCAGCTGAAGTGGTATAAGGGGCCACATGCAATTTGCCAACCATTAGGACTATGCTTGCTGCCACTATGCAAACTATTAATAGGACTGCTTTATAATTCTGCCTGCTCGGTCAATGTGATTTATATCAAGTCATTCTTTTCCAGAAATACATGGTCCATCATTCTCTCATCCAGTACTTGATGCCACCTCCCGTTATTCTGCCATCTGAGGCTCCTGCCTCGCTCTGCCTAACAGCAGGGTCGGCCTTAGTTTCTGACATGCCAACAGGCACGTTCCAATACTCTCAAGTGGGCTCAAAGCTATAAGCTAGAAAGTTTGGTGTTTAAGCCAAAGGAAAGCTGTGAGCTTCCTGTGTCAGGACACTTAGTTCTGTGGCCAGTATCACAGTGCTGCATACACATCGCTCTGCTCTTCTGAGTGGTCAGTCTCAGTAAAACCATTTGTGCACGGCCGTGTCTCTGTGTGTGTATTTTTAGATAGACGAACTGGAGAAAGAGCTGCATCTGCTTCACTCTGAAATGGCTGAAGCGCAGATCGAAAGGGATCAGTACAGCCAAGAATCTGGAAACTTAGATGATCAAGTTCGCCGGTTGGTGGTAGGAATCTGAAACAGAAGTACCTCTATAAAAATGGCTTTTGAAATCTACTAACAAGCTAAATGATTCATATTCCACTCTTTGGCGAGAAATTGGAGAATAGAGGAGTCTGTAATAGAAAACCATTGTGATCTTCCTGTGACATAAACGTTCCACTATTTTAGCAAAGGAATTAATCAGAAAAGTTTTTGAGAAGGTTAAACCATTTGCACAGAACATTTGAAGAGCCCAAAATTGTTGGAAGCGAGGTATTTTGTTGTAGGCAAAATGAATCACAGGCAAAGCCCATTGGGAGTGCATTGACTCAACACAACAGAGTGTTTGCCCCACACAGTGTGGCATCCGTATGAATCTTGAGCCTTGTTTAGGGCAAAAGTAACTGCATTATGCTCTGAGCGCTACAAGCCAAAGCCAAAGCTTCATTTAGCGTAGGAGGGTCATGCAATAAGGAGGAGAAACATAGGAGTATCTTTTATCCAACTTTGAATTTTCATCCACTAAAGAGGAAGCAGTTGGGAAGAGTTATTTTCAGTGAAAAAAAGTAGACAAGGAGGTTCATTCCCTCCTTTCTCCCTCCATCTCACCTTCAGTTTACTTAAAGCCTCAAAGGTTGCATTTTACAGAATGAAGAAATCCCCTGCGGGGAAAAATGCATTCTTGCCTTTAGTCCAAATAGAGGGCCATATTTTAATTGATGAACTGTTCATGGCCATTTAGGTTCTGGCATTTAAATGATTTGGCTTACTGTGGTCTGGACTGCTGCAGGATTTAAATAAAGTAATACACTACACGAACTTGAAATGTTCTTGCTTTAATAAAAACAATTAAAGTTTCATTATTTTATTTCAGCAGTTTGCATGAAACTGTATCAAAAATGCACATCTTAAAGCCTTTAATAGCAAAAAGTATGCAGTCCCAAATTGCCAAAATTAAAATATTTAGAAACACAGTATACAAGATGAATCTGTTAAAAGCCTTGGTGTGGGGTGGGGTGTCAATTAAAGCTTTTTAAACCAGAGAACTGGTTTAAAACCAACTGGAAGCACAATCAGTAAGGGGCGGGGAGGACTGGGAGAAAATATAGGGCTTTAACCAATGCAGAAAACAGGCTACATTTGTCCCTTGCCACATTCCAAGGTGGAGAGCGTCCCCCAAAATGGGAGCCACCCCGAGAAAGGCTTTTTCTGTGTTGCCACCTGATGGAATCTGCAGGTTGAGCAGGGCAGCTCCAATGATCTCAGTGATCAAATGGGTACCTGTGCTTGACGCCTCAAAGATATTTTGGCTTGCAGAGTGAGGTGCATAAGAAAGACATGGAGCTCAATCTGGAGAAGGAGCAGAATAAGCGCCTCTGGGATCGGGACAGGGAGAGCAGCGTCACCATCGACCATTTGCAGAGAGAGCTGGACAGCAAGGCCATGGAGCTGCAGCGCATGGATTCCCTTGTGAAGTCCATGAAGATGGAGTCCCAGGAGCAAATGGAACGTCAGGTCAGACTAGATGGCCACAGCGGAGCACTGGGTCTGGATGTTTGATTTGGAGATGCTGTGGATATTGTTTTGTTGCCCCATTTTAGGCTTTGGGTTTCGTGGTCCATTTTGCATTTAAATTGTTTTTCTGTTATTTCATTGTATGTCATGGGGTGACATTAGCAAGGTCTGGTTGTAGGATCAAGAGTCGTGGCTGCAGCTGAATTTCCCTGCTAGCAGCATACTGAACCTGAAGCTCTTGCTTGGGATCTGAAACACAGAAGGGGAAAGGAGAGGTGGAGGAAAGGGCTTCGCTCTGCTTTTAATTCCCCAAACGCACCCCCAAGAAGCGACAGCTGCTGATGTTCTGGATTATCCCCATTCATCTAGGTGGTCGTCTCTGTCCTCCACGCAAGGAAGCAAGGCAAGAGTCAGGAATTAAGCCATCCTGGGTGAATCGCTCAGGGAAGGTTAAAGGGCATGGGTGTGGCCGGGGGCATTTTGGAGGGGCACCAGTGGGCAGTCTGTGGTCATTTCTTCAGCTGCCTGCAGATGGCATTGTTGCTTTACAGTTAAAGCAGAGAGAGGGGAAGAGAGACATTATAATTACAAGTGGTTTGTCGGACCAGTGCACACCACCCGAGTACCTGAGCATCACAGCTTTCTAGAACAAATGTTAAAGAAAAGCTATGACAAATGGCAGTGGAGTAGCTTGTGCTTCAACTGCCTGTGATGTAGGGATGGGGAACTCCAGCTCAGGAGCCTAACCTGGTCTGCACAGGCTTGCCTCTGGCTCCACCCCTCTGCCAAAATCCGTCCCCTGGGAGCTAACAGGGTGAGAGAAGCTCCACATATCTTTGTTGCTTGGGCTAGTTTTCGGTGGCTAGAACGGACCTGGTTTTGCAGGCACCGATGAGGTTCCCTGAGTCAGGAGCAGCCAATTAGAAGGCACTGTGCTGCTGCTCCATCATTTCTTCTATTCTGCAGTCAGAAAAAAAAGAAGGGAGATGCACAGGAAAATCATAGGAGATTATAAGTAGAAGGCAAGTACTTTGTATGCAATCACAAGGAAAGGATTTGCTGGTATTTGGGGAGAGGAGTTGACTTAAAGCAGACAGCTAGATGCATCCTGACTCGTGCCCCAGTGGTGGCAAGCAAAGAGAACTTGTGGCTGGCTGCAACCAACCAGCAGGATTGCAAGAGATTCGGTTGAGGTCTCAATCCAGCATCTTGGTTTGCCACAGAAAATCAGGAAAGTCTTCCAGATGTACATAATGTGGCATGTCCTTCCCGGAGCTAGCTGGGAGTAAGTGAATGAGATGGGACAGTGGGAGCCAAATGGAGGAGTAAACACAGCAGCCCCCCTGTTGCTGAGTGGAGAGTTAACAGGAGGGTAAAAGCATAAAATCCATCCCTCAGGACTGAGGCTTTTGGGAAGGGAGGATGAATACTGGCTTGTCCCCACTGCTTCCTAGTTCAAGATACTCTGACACATAGAAATTTCCCTTGCTAGGATGAAAGCAGTTGGAAAAGAAACTTTCTTTTTTAGATGGCTGCAATTAGAGAGAAGAATGAAAGCATAGAAAAGGTGACCTCCATCGCTGCCCAGCAAGAGTCCACCAAGGACATGCTCCATAAAGTTGTTGAAGAGCTGACAGAAATTAAGGTAGCCTTGGAGACCAGTGAGAAACAAGTGGCTGAGCTGACATCATGCCTGCAAGAGAAGGACAGAGTGATTGAATCGACCAACGAGGAAATCCAGAAGCTCCATGGGCAGGCACACAGCAAATCGCAGGAGCTGCAGCAGCTGAAGAACGAAATGGATCACTTGCGGAATCTGCAGTCAGACTGCGAGTCCTTGAAGCTGCAGCTGATGGAAAAGGAGAAGGTGATTGAGATCCTGCAGAAGCAAGTTGAGAACATGACCCAGATGGTGGGCCAGCACAGCCGGACTGCAGGTGCAATGGAGATGGAAAAATCGCAGCTTTTGAAAGAAGTGGGTGAAAAAAAATTGGAGCTTCAAGAAATAAAGGTGCGTGTGTTCCACTGTGTGTAGGGCAGGAATTGAGAATCCTTTTAAAAGACCCACAATAAAAGGATTCACATTTAGGGTCACAGATTCTTAGGACAAGGGAGAAAAAAGATCACAGGGCTGTATATTAATCTGTGACATGTCAGGGATCTTAAATCAAGGACTTTTACAGTCAGGCTGAGGCACTTTGTATTCTGCATCACTATGGAAGCTTTTCAGAAGGAGCTGTGCCACCATCACAGATGGCCAGAGGTACCACTAGCTCAGCAGCTCTCTGGTGATACAAATAGACAGTGAAGTACCGTTTGGTCTTATAAATTCTCCTGAAGACTTGAGCAGCCTGTCATTTGGCCAGATACTACATTTACATCATGCTATGCTTGGAGCAATGTGTCTTCCCCCATTCTCTGTTCTTGGTTGAAAATAGCTGGTCACCTATGGTACATGAGAATTGCTCTCCAGGTGACCAGATGAAGGGGAAAACACACACCACTCTAAGTTGCAAATGCTTTAATGTGGCCATGCCAGAGCAGGTGGGCTTTTCAAATCATTTTCAGGCTAGTACATTTTTGCAAGAATTTTTCTTTCTCTCCGTCATTAAATACTGCAACCAAGGAGCAAATGCTATTATGAACTTGGAATATCTAGATTTTGCAGGACAAGAAAGACGGCCAGATTCGTGAGTTGGAGGCCAACTTGAGTGAGATGGAACTGGAGAAGATGAAATTGATGAACATAAGCTCTGAGAGGATTCGAGCACTGAAAGAGATGGCACTGGAAAGAGAAGAACTTATGCACGAAATAAAAACCAGTCGCATTGAGCTTGCTGCCCTTGCAGGTATGAAGTATTGAGCTGGATATTTCCTGGCTTTGTCTTTCTTTTGGTCTTCATTCTTCAGCTACATTTGTATGGTCTTATTCTCTATATCCTCTTCTCTGTTAGCCTTCCGCAACCTGGTGCCTTCCTGATGCTTTGGTCATGAGCAAGGGAAGCAGGATGGGAAAGAGGATGAGTGAGGAACAACAGCCTCTCTTGACTGTGGTGGTGAGCAGGTCGGCTCCAGGAGGGAGGGACTCCATTGAGTGTGTCTTGCCCAAGTCCCTCAGAAACCTGGAGCCAGAGCCATCCGTGTCCTTGATCCCAGGCTCCATATGTTGGTCTGAAGGTCTGCATCACACCTTTTCTCCACACTGATGCTCGATTCAGTTCTTCCTAATTGTGGCTGGAGGCCAGGAGCCAAGTGGGAGCAAGAGGGAGAAGGCGGAGGGAGACTCACAGAGGGAGGGGGTGGCATTGAGGTTTTCTTGCCTGAGGTCCTCCAAAACCTGGAGCTGGCCCTGGCTTGCGGGAGCAGGATTTTCCGGTGGCCAAGCTCCATTTACTGAACTCTATCCCAGGATAAATTTTTCTAGCCCCATCTTTCATCAGTTATTAGGTGGGCAGCCAGGATGATTTTGTTCTGCTGAGTGTTTAAATGTCTGTTGAACCTTAGCTCCCGATGAAGCTTTTAAGTGATTGTTGTTAAAGGGCTATATTTCTCTCCCAAAATGTATGTTGAATGTTGGAAATTGTCTTGGAGGTTGGTTTGAGAACTGAAAGGCAGTATCTAAATAATACCTGTTTAAAAAAAATAGTTGAACATAAGATTTCCTGCCTGATCACGCTCTCCCTGCTTTTCCATTCAAGCATCTCTTTGAGACACTTCTCTCTACTCACCCTATCTATCCCTCCTTGATTTGCATTGGTAGCTTTACCCTCCTTTTCTGTCCACAAAGCATCTTGCGGGATTAAAAGCAGTTAACAATGCAGTCTTATCCCTGTCTGTTCAAGCATAAATCCCGTTGAGTTCAGTGGGCCTTTGCCTGAACATAAATGGGAAGACGATTGCAGCCCAGATGAAAATAAAAAGCTGAACAGTTTTACATAAAACCATACACAAAGCAGCACTTTAAAAAGCCAGGTACAGCACATGGTGAAGCATGAGTGGACGCCCTCTGGGGTTTGCTCCTGCTAGCACTGGAATCACTGCTGTGCTGATGTATTTTCTGCCAAAATTCAGCATAAATAACCATGTGTTTTGTTTTAAAGTAAACTGTGTCCTCTGCCAGGGCTTCCAAGAGTGTAACAATTTTGCTTTAAAACTGCTGGCGAGTAACTCGAACATGCGCTTGAAGTAAACCCAAGGAAACTTTATTCATAAACACAACCATTGTTTAACAAAGAGGGAAAGGATTAGCCTCGGACTAGTAGACATTGGCTTCGCTCTTCTATAAGCTGTCAGAAGAGACTAGCAGATGGAATATTTAGCTAAGCCTGGAAACTTCCTGCTAGCCTGCAAAAACACAGTTAAGTGTGTATACACGGAGCACTTAATGTTGCAAGTCCTGGAAAAATAAGGTGTTTGCTTCCCTGGGAGACGTCGGCAAGTCACTGATAGATGAACCAGTGTTCTGACTCAGTATAAGGTAGCTTCATATGAAGATTTGTTTAGAGGCAGATATGACACATCTGAGTGTCCTTGGTCACCATTCATCAACTGGATTGACCAAGATGAACCTCTGCTCTGCCCCAGCAACACATGGCAAAATCTGGACAGTCTTGTTTTCTTTAGGTTTGCTCTAGGACAGTACGATCGTCTGAGAGCTTTTTCACTTTGAGATGTCTCCTCTCTGGAAAACAACCTTCATGCTCCTGTTACTGTTGGTAGAAATGATATATGTACTTACGAACGTAGATGTTTTATGTTTGTATTTTAAGTATTAGTAAACTATTTGCTTGTTATTCTAATAATTAAAAAAGACTTGTTCAGAAGCAAGTTCCACCCAGACTCAGACACAGTTGAGAGTTGCCTGCCTGTGCTGAGCACATGGGCCCTAATTTCCCAGCCACCCCTGCAAAAGGAAGGAGGCAGAGGTTTCTGAGAGACCCATGGAAGCATGCCACAGAGACGTCTGATTCCCAAGAACTGTGTCTGTGTCCTTGGACCTTTTATTTCTCCAGAGAGCTCTTCTTATGACCTCGTCATGCACCAAATGCATTTGCCAAGCCCCATCTCCCTTCTTGCCTCCTACCTTATGCCTAAGTCTGTTCCTCTGCATCTCTCCATCTCTGGAACTTTAAATACGGCTCCCTCCCCAGAGGGTCATTGTAACAAGTGTACTGAGTTCTTGAAAATTCCATTCATGTGCAAGCAACAGCACAGTGGCCTCAGTGACTTCATTCTGGCTCTGGTGCTTTGCAGAGGAGTCCGAAGCTTTAAAAAACGATTACCGAGAGAGGAGCGAAGAGATGGAGACAACAGTGAGCAAGCTGAAAGTGCAACTGAAGTCTGCACAAATGGAACTTGAGCAAACCAGGGCCACCCTGAAAACTATGGAGGGGTCTGATGGCCACGGTAATTGTGCAAGTGTTATATTTTGTAGACTTTTCGGTGGGGGAGGCAATGGGTGGTATCGGTAAATGGATGGAATGAAAGCAGACCAGAACATTCAGTATAGGAGTGTAAAGTCACAAAGGCAATGGAGTTGATGCGCCTACATTGGAAGCTTAATTTTTTTTTTCTGGAAACGCTGGAGATTGGCGTTAAGGTTTATTCACTTTAATAGAGAATTCCTAGTATTCTCACCAGCGTACAGTTCCCAGCATTCCTCAGGGGAAAGCCATGACAGCTGAAAGATATTAAGGAAGCAAGCCATGCCCAAAGCACAGAAACCTCTGAACTTGGAGGCTTATATGCATCTAGTGCATGGTGTAAGGTGCAGCAGCGCTGATTTGGATTCCTGCCATCCTGCACCTAACACCCTGCACTTCATCTCGATGGCCTTTTTTGGACACTTAGATGAAGCGTCCCAGAAGGGGAGGGAAGGAGGCTGGAGCACACTTTGGCTATAGCATAAGCTGTGGATCCCAGCTTCCTCCCCACCCACTCACCCACCCCTCGGCATGCAAATAGTTTACTAAGGTGAATTTCCAACCTCGGAGAGGCAGCTGGCACAATGCTTTCTATACTGGCTGCGAGAGAAACAGAGCAGAGATCTGGTATTCATACTCCTAGCTCTGAGGGAGCAGAACCTCAGAGGTGGGCCTCCGAACAATCCTGGGAGACCTTCCAACCACTATAGACATGTTCAGTAGAAGGGCCTATTTACACAGCGGAACTAGAATGGAATTTATTTGGGGCTCACAGGGAAATTCCAGCACTAAATTTAGATGCTGACTAAGGCCAAATCGGTATTCTGCAGTAACATTCCCTATTGGCAGCCTGATACGCTCAAACAAATCGTAATTTTAAACTCTGTTGTCAAAGCACGATGCCACTAATGCATTGAAAATCCTCTCTTTTATAGCAATGAAAGTTGCAATGGGGATGCAGAAACAAATCACAGCCAAACGAGGACAAATAGATGCTTTACAGACCAAGATTAAGTTTTTGGAGGAAGCAATGAACAATGCAACTAAGGTCAATACAGCTAAGATATTTAACTTAAGACTGTAGAATGGCCCAGCCAGATTCTAACACTTTGAAGTCTTGGTAGAAAGAAGTTCAGTGGTTGTTGGTGTAAATCTATACCTTTTACATTTTGTGGTACCATAGATTCTTGTGGAAATGGGTCACTTGGGCAGCTCCTGCTGAGGGTTATGTTTCTCAAACTTTATTTTTGTAAATACCTTTGAACAATATGTAGATTTTTCTTAGAGTGGTTGTGTTTATTAAAAGAACCTTTTGGTTATTGTCTCCTTCAAACTAGTATAGGGTTAGGGTATTCAATATGAAAGTTTGGACATAACACTAAACCAGTGCAGCTGTGAGAGGAACATTCATTCCTGCTTTAGAATAATCACAATTTACTGAAATCATCCAGACCAAAACAAAGCTACTTAATCCAGTCTCCCTTCCAACATTTTAGGACCTGCTGGCACATTTGGGAACAGGAGAAACTGCTGTAGGTACCCCGCAAAATGTATAGACAGTGGATTGCTGCTTTAGATTTACATGTTGCATCTCTAGATCTTAAGCTGCATATTATACAGCAAAACCTTTTCTTTCATGTCCATTGGACACCGCCACATCTCCTTAATGAGGGATTGTCTAAATTCAGCTAATTGTTAGTGGTGTGAACATACCTTGTAAACACATTTTGGCAGTGCCCGATAGAAACTTCTCTTTGAGGGAGGTTATTACACAGATACATTTTCCATTTAGACCACGCTTTAATATTTACTATTTAAATGTTTCACTTGCTTCACAGAAATTGACAAATGGTTAGTGTAAGTGAATACCCTCTAGCCCTTTGATGGATAAAATGCTGGTATGGCAGCACTGGAAGCATAAAAGCTCACCTCCTATAACACAATGGATTAGAGAACCTTACAAAGCTTTCAGTGTTGGAATGGGTGACATACATACCAAATGGATACTTATTTGGATATTTAGTCCGCTTTTTTTGAAGCCTATGTATAATTGCTAGAAAGGGGCATGTATTTCATGTGTTTTTGTAGCTATAGACACATATATGTGCATATATTAAAATGGGAAAAATAACAATAGTACAATGTTTTATGGGTCACTGTGGGCACCATGTTGGGATTCCCTTACAGGTGCCATTGGAGGTGCCCATGAGTGCCAAGACACTCACAGGTGCTGCACTGGAGACTCCTGGGTTAATCTTTGGTATGGTTAGTGGAAAGAAGCCTGATTCAAATCATAGTTTGATGAAGTGGCTTGTTTTTACTAGCCATTGTTAAGATTTGCCACAGTTTACAGGTTAGTGCTGAACATAATGATAAATTCCAGTTAATCTAGAGCAATCTCCTCTGAGCACCAGCCTGTGGTTCATCCTCAGATTTCTAAATCATGGTTTATCGTAACATGCAAACCAGGTCAGAATGACCATCTCATTGGGATTGTTTGTAACCCTAATACAGAAAGAAAAGGAGATGAATCAAGCAAATTGATAGTTTGTAACAGAACAGCTTGTCAATATTGATTATGATTTTTACAGGGAGATTAGCAGATTTCAAAATCATATATCTGAATGTTGCTTCTTGAAAGTGGATTTTCCTATGCAAATTTGCTGAACTAAATACTGAATGAAGGCCATTACAATATTATCCAAACTAGTATGCAGTTAACAATTTTCTTGTGTTGGAAATGGAGCTATTGCCCACTTACCAAATTTCATGAAACTACTGTCAGAAGTTCAGGTCCTGAATCAAAATCTTGAGCTTTTTGCTCAAGAACTCTGGAGATTTTCTATCTGCTTTTTTATTCTTTCCCTTTTATCCATGTAGGAGAAGCATTATCTGAAGGAAGAGAGGCATAAGTTAAGCCAAGAACTTAGCTGCATGGCTGCTTTAAACAACAAAATGGCTGGAGAGTTGGAGATTCTAAAGTCCCAGGACAAACGCTTGAAAGAAAAGCTTGTGACCATGGAGGCAGCTCTGGATAAGGTACAACTTTCTCAATTCACCTGTTCATTTTTCCCAGTTTTAGCCCTGCCATGAGGTGAGGGACAGATTTGTGAAGGCAGTAAAAGCAGATCTGCATGTAGGGCATAAAGCAACCAATGCTAAGCTCACACTCTCCAAATGGATTTTGGCACTCATTAGCTCAAAAACTTTAAGAAAATAATCGCTAACAAAATTATAAGAACATACATATTGGCGGCTGTCCTGCTTGCCCAGGTGTGGCCATTTAAACTCCAAAGAAGGCTCACCCACTCACTTGACATGCATTCTAAACAACTTTCTAAAGATACTGCATTAAGGTAAGATCAGATGTTGCATTCAGATTCTGCATTAAAGTGAAATATACTTCCAAGTGAGGAATAAATAAGTGATGGTCATATTTGGCTGCTATATGCCCATTGCATTCATGTATAAAGCAAGGGAGAATGTATGCTTTTAACATCACATAGAACATGCTGGATAGGATGGAGAAGTAAACCTTACCGCTGGCGCTCCAGGCTCCATTTTTCCCCACAGCCCTCCTTTTACAGTGTTCTGGCTAGGAACAGAATGCCTGTGGTGATGGTGCCCGCTTCTTTCTGTCGCTGCTGTGTGGCTCAGATTCCTGTCCTGTTCAGGAATTATCCAGTAGGTTGGGGACTAAATGTTCCAGACAGCAAAGGAACTGTCCAGCCAAGGGCTGGGAAGAGTTAAACAGGAGAAGGGGCTGCATTAGCTACTGCTTGGCACAATATGAGAGCTTTATCGTTGTTCCTGCTGTTTGACCCACTGCTGGAGTATCACGGAGTGCTGATATGGAATATGAGTGGGCCTAGCTTCCTCTTCTCAAGTCGGGCTCAGAGAGAGGTGGGCCTGTGCTGCAAGGTAAGCCTTGCACCTTCAGCTCTTTGTTCTTGCCTCAGGCATGCTGCCTTCTGGAGATGATCTTGGCAGCAGAGGGATTGGGGTGTATTAGGTCCCCTGAATCTGCAGGTTCCGTAAGTGGGATGGTCATGGTCATGGTCAAAATCTTGTCCTGATGGAACCTGATGGCGAGGTGGTAGGACTGAACGAATGGACTGTAGGGAAGTAAGAAGGGGACAGTTACCTCTCGTTACTAGTGCAGTCCTTTTGGTGTTAAAGTCAGTCTATTGCTACTCCTACTTAATGGGACACTATGATAAGCTGGGGTTCCTTTGCAACCCCGGCTTATCATAATGGGGCAGGGTGCTGGTGCATTTGGCCAGTCACTCCTATTGCAAGCAGGAGCAGCTAAACAAACAAGAGACCTTTAATCTCTGGTTTGTTTGGTGTGACATGTGAATCCAGACCTCTGGCGTGTCTCTTCCTGGGCAAACCAGAGAAATATCCAAACAACAAAGCTTGAGAACCCTTGCTTACTGGGATGTGTGAACCTAGTCGGTATATGGACAGGGCCAACGTGACATGTTTAAGCAACTATGTTGCTGACATAACATTGTGTTGGCTCTCAGTGTGTTAGCTACCGTAGCCTTCAGCAATCAAATCCACAGACTGGCTAGTGTTTCTTGGATTTCTTGAATTCCATCCTAAAGATACATCATCTCTAACATCACCCACCCAGGCATCGATGCAGTTTGCAGAATGCCAGTGTATTATGCAGCGGCAGGAACAGGAAGTGATGCGCTTCAAACTTCAGCATGCTTTGGACGTAAAAGTAAGTTGTCTGCTTCACTGAAGTGCACTGGAAGCTTATCCTTGTTCTTCAGTACTACATTTAATTTTCAAAACCAGGCTATTTTTTAACAGTGAAATAGTCTTAGAGTATGCCTTTACCAGCTAACTGTTGTGGAGTTTGTTGCAAAATATAGCAGGGGTACTTTGGAGAATCTATACACCATGTCCCATATGCTGTCTTCCTCAACACTTTTAATTTCAGTTTCTTACCAATTATCATTTATGCATCATAAAACTTGCAGTAAATTTCTTATTTATACATGTTTGGAAGACATAATCAAAGCAGTTTTAAGAAATTAACTTGATTGTTTTAAAACGTGCACAGACGCACTGTTTAAAAATAGCTGTACTTGTTCAACTGTGAAGCTTGTGTAAGGGCAGAGATTTGAAACCTTTGATAAATGTCCAGCAGGTTAAAAAGATTATATCAGAACAGCAGTAAAAATATATGAAAATATAACATCTGCCAGAAAGACTCAGGAATTTTCCCATGGTTGAGTGCTGGGCTGGCTTTTTCAGTGCCCTTTTTCCTTCTCCTTCAGTGTAGGAGGACATTCTGGCTCTGGTAATTTTTCCCATCAACATAGTCCTGATTACAGCTTACTGAAAGATCCAAGGATCTTCATGTCCAAAGACAAACCTCTGGTTTCCAAACCATCACAAGAGGATAGGATGGTTTAGCAAATATCACAATGATGATAGTGGAATTCCCAGTGGAACTAAGTAATTTAGAGGAATTAAAGTTTCTAGACATTCTGAAATAATGATGTGTTGTTTTAGAAATAAATCTTTTAGACAAATTCTAAATGGATAATTTTGTTATCCATACTGGATGCAAAAATATTCCTGTGACATCCAACTAAAGCCACAATCCCATTCCACTTAATCAGGAGTCCCACTGGACTCAGTGAGTATATTAGGTATTAGATTGTGTTATAACATACTGATTTTAGCAGAAGGTTGTATGGACTAGACCTCACTTCTTTATATGTAGAAAAATCATCCTCAGTTAGGAATTAAATGGATATAAATAAAGCAGTGGGTAAAAGGCCATGAAACGGCTGGTATTTCCATGCACAAGAGAAGTGTAACACTGATGCATGTTGGCAGTAACCAGTGGTAACACAGGCTTCCTCGTTTGCTATACTAATGTAAAACATGAAGCAGGAATTGATTGGATTCTGAACAAATAGAATCAAATGTACAGATAAGGTCTAGTTGAGCAGTTTCACAGTAAGAAGCAATGTGTTCTGTGAGACAAAAATGTTCTCCTTCTCATTTATGAACATCACCATTTTGGATGTTAAGAGTTCTGTCAGTGTATTTTCTTTAAAGGTTAATCAAGAAGGCAATAGAGCCAGTGTGGCATAGTGGTTAAGAGCATGGGACTGGGACTAGTCCCCGCTCAGCCATGGAGCCCACTGGGTGACTTTGGGCCAGTCACAGGCTCTCAGCCCAACCTGCCTCACAGGGTTGTTGTGGGGATAAGATGGAGGAGGAGAATGATGTAAGCTGCCTTGAGTCCTTTGTAGGAAAAAGGCAGGATATAAAATCGAAAAATAAATAAATAAATAAATAGTGCTCATGCATTGCAAGGTGCAAAACAGCATGTGCCCCTGACAACACAGTCAATGTTATTCATTCTTGTCTTGTAATAGTGCTTCCTGGGCGGGTTGGATGATCCATTATGATAAAAGCACCTGTAAAAACACTTGAACTGCCCACTTTGATTGGGCAGTTCAAGTGTTGATTAGGCAGTTCAAGAAAATGCAGCCATAGGGTGCCAAATGCAGCCAGGGTGCCAAATGCAGCCACATGCTGCCGAAATTGACCTGCACTGGTTTCCTTCAGGAATCCCCCTTGAGCCCTGGGTGCTATTGGTTCCTGGAGGTGCTGCTTCCAATAAGCAATGTTTCAAGAGCATAGAGCAGTAGACCGAGACTATATTGCCTGCCCCAGTGCTGGCATCCAATTGGTTGGAGGACCTAGTCCCCAAACCAAGTGGCTATTTGAAATTACCTGTCTGTAACCTGGGCAGGCCTGGCATGTGTCCCATGATCTTCCATTCAGGATTCCTTCCTCTGAAAGCACATTGTATTTTGATTACCCACCAGTTCCTTCTTCTGCAGGAGCTGCAGGGCCCAGGATATGCACTGGGATCCTCTGTGCTGAAGCAGCGCCATTCCGCCTTGCCTCACTCCCACCCGTGCAGCGCTCCATCTTCCCAAGCCTTTGCAGGCCACATCACCCTCGTAAGTAGATGCTCCAGAATGCAAACCTTCACGGCAGGGCTGTTGCTGGGTTCCACAGTAAATGAACTTTAATAAAATACTCCCACCTCTTTGAAGGTAAAAAATCAGTAGCTATTCAGTTTTTACTTTATCTAAATCAAAACTCTTTAAAATATTCGAATTCTTGTCACTGTGTTGGTAGCACTATTTTTATATAAAGGCATCTCGTTACTTGTCCTGAAAAAAACAACAATAGCAACAATAGGAGTATTTTAACCGACTGTGGCAATAAGGAAAACAATACTTGGGGTCTGCAGTCCTGGGCGGCTTAGCTGGTGGTAATTAGTGAACAGGGGCTGTATTTGGATGCTTGTTCACAGCAGGGTGAACCACAGAGTTTCATCAACCAGGGATGAGCATCACGGCTGTGCACTGTTCCCTGCCCTCCCCTCCCAATATCATGTGCTACCTTTGGCGCAAAGATCTCAGCTGCATTAAGCCAGAGTTTCCCATAGCAACCAAATGAGGCAGCTCTAATGATGAGCAGTATCCCAGAGATTACACGATTCTTTGCAAACCAATGAGTTCAGTTTTAGTCTGAAGCATAGAGGAATACACAGGACAATTACACACTCATCATCCCCTACTCATGACTCTTTAAAAATCCATTCCAAAATATTGGGTCGCTCCAGTTTAACTTCTGTTTCTTTGGCAAGTTTTGGTAGAATACAGGACACAAGAGAATCACACTATTCAAGTTGCAGGAAGCCAGGTACCAGCTGAACAGCAGGAAATTCTTTCTGTTTTAGCAGTATAACCAAGGAACAGCGATCTAGAGAGGGTGGAGGACCTCCCACACCACAAAGCTTCACGATGCAGCAGGACCCTCATCTGCCAGGGGTGCTTTAGTTGGAGTCCTGCACTGAGCGGGGGGTTGGACCTAGTGGCCTTCCTGGCCCCTTCCAACTCGACTCTTCCATGATTCCAAGAGCACCTTAGCCAGGGAAAATGCTATATTATTTGTGGAAGTGAAGGAAAGTGATTTTCTACTTGTGTATTTGCACTGTTCTACTATACCAGGATGCCAGCTAGAATGGAAATGTACAATTTTGTGATGAAAGTGAAAGTAGGTACAGTGGTTTAACATCCAAAAAGCTTATAGAAGTGTAGATGAAATATCCACCTGAAGTACCTTAATATTTATTGTGTATTTATTTATTTAAAACATTTTTTTACCCCATCCAATATGGAAGAACCGTCTCAGGACAGCTTACAGTAATTAAAACAATAACAATTACAGTAATAATGATTATAATTAACAATAATAGTTACAATGATTAAAACAATAAATAACAAAACAATAAATAAAATTCATAACCAAAAACATAAATGAAAACAAAATGCAGCTGTTGTTAAAAACTATTTAAAATCGCTTAATGCTTAAAATGATGGGTGAATAAAAAGGTTTTTATCTGGAGCCAAAAAGAGTATAAAGTCAGTGCCAGGCGAACCTCTCTGGGGAGTGCATTCCACAAACTGGGCACTACCACAGAGAAGGCCCTTTTCCAGGTAGATTCCCTCTTTACTTCCTTCAGGGAGGGGTCCTGGAGCAGAGCCTCTCCTGCAGGTCTTAAGGAGTGTGAAGGCATATAAGAAAAAAGACTTTCCTTCAGGTATCCTGATCCCAAGCTGTTTAGGTTGAAATTTTTTTTTTTAGGTTGAAAATTTTTATTTAAATAAAAAGGGCTTCATAGGTTAACACCAGCACCTTAAATTGGGTCTGGACTTCAATCGGAAGCCAGTGTAGCTGGTAGAGGACCGACATCATGCGAGAGTAACAGCCAGTCTCCGTCAGCAGCCTGGCAGCTCTGTTTTGTACCAATTTAGCTAACACGACACAAGTAGTAACATTCTAGTGAGCAGGAAGTGCTGAAATTTGTATTCCTGAATGTACTCTTGAGACAGAATATATGAAAAATGTGGACAGGTTTCTAATTTCAGGCAGATTTATCTGGACACATTCTTTCAAGCTTTTAGAAGAGAAATCAAAACATTTCCTCTGCCCAGAACACCCACCTGAATAGCCAGTCAGGAAAGTCCACCATACAATAACACAGAGACAGTGCAGGGTTTTAACTTGGCCACAACTTAATCAGTTATGTCCTAGAGTTTGATGTGGCATAATCTTTTTTTCTAGCAGGGCTTGTATTGGTTACTTTGGGACTGCTGAGGAGGTTGCTAATGGAACTGATCTTTCTTTCCTGCTTTTGCTCTTGTGGCTAAGATTTAAATTGTTCCTCCCACCCCCAGGTATGAATCTGTCTACAAGATACTAATTCCCCTTAAATATAGTAATTCTTAGTAATAGATTAAGTCTCCTGGTGCCTTTCAGAAACTACATGGATTTCAACTAATGCCAAAGAAAATACTTTTTTATTTGGGAGCGCCTCTTGATAGTCATGGAAAGACCAATCCATGTTTTCTGGGTTCTTTTTGAAATGCCTGTTTCCTTTCAGATGCCCTCCAGATCTAGTTTTGTTAAGGAGGACCCGCTGCATGAGTTAAAGCACCTTCTTAAAGAATTAAGGAGTACAGTTGATGAAATTCCCTCCACAATTCTTCCCAGAAGAGAGAATGACAGTGAGAGCGATTCAGTTATAGAAGATCATAGCCATACATTGTAAGGATGCACCACATTCTTTGTTTTCTGACAGGTCATCCCCTCCAGCTGCTAGGGAAAGCTACTCAGTTTGGCTTCTGCTCACTTTTTCCCCCAGTGCACCATCTAGACTTCTCTCCAGCTCTGTTAATATAAAAACTGCCTAGTGTTTCTCTTTCCTGTTTTCAACCTACCATGAGCCTGTGTGTTCCACGTAAAGATGGAGACAGCTTCAAGGAACAGCTGCAGTCTATATTTTCAGAAGTGAGGACCAGCCATTGTTTGTGTATTTCCTGCAGTCCTGGCTGCAACCTGAAACCATCATATCAGCTGGTGGAGCCTAATTTGCATGTCTGACTGCCACTGCCCTTCTGTTTCCTCTTAAGATTCTTACCTTGCAGACTTCCTGACTTCCAGTATTGTCTGCTTTCCGCCCCGCTGCACTTTTTCTCCCCAGCCTACTTTTCTGACATCTTGCCTGATGCAAAGAAATCGCATATTTTTGCTTGCATGTTTTTGTGACCTTTTGCATTGACCTAATAAAAGTATTACTCCAATACGGATCTCCAAATACTATGAAATTGTTCAAACATGGTAAGCTGCGTGTTTTGGGAGTTTCTGTTTGGAAAAGACACAGAGGCAAAGGGGACCTTTTGCTCATACAGCTTGTGACAGATGGTTTGATCTCTGATATGCTGATTCAGTACTCACTGCTCAGGTTGCCCTGTGCTCTCCTACCTGTAAGCTGCAATGTGGTTTCTAGCTTTGCCCCACTCCAGGCAGGAGAGGAGGGTGAGAGAAATAGTGACTGAGGGGGAGGATATTAGATTTTTTTTTATTATTATATTATTATTTTATTAAAACATTTTTATGCCGCCCCATTCGCCGAAGCCTCGGGGCGGCTTACAACATAGAATGCCTTCACATGTTTTCACATGAATGCCTTCATCATCTCTGCTAATCTTTGCCAGCATTCCTCTTTCCTAGTTTTTTCCCATCAGCCTCCTTTCCATGACTATGCCTTTCTCCAAACGATTTCCAAAACTTTTCCTGGGCTCCCCACTACCCTGGCACTGCATTTTCTCAGATTTCTGACTGCTTTTCCCCAGGTTCTTCTTCTTGTTAGGTCCTCCAGACTGCCTTGCTCCATTATCAGTTAAAGTAAAACCACATGTGATGTTATTCATGTGGCTTGCAAGGTTTGTAAAACTAATTAGCTGGTGAGCAGCAGGGCAGTCATAAATCAAATCAGGCACGTGGCATGGGGGTAGGAGGGGGGGGTTAATTCTTTGTCCTTGCTGGGATTCTAATTGGAATCAGACTGCTGCGCACTTGCTGTTTGTGATGTGGGGTGAAGCATAAGGTAGCTTGTGCTAAGTCATGGGCATTCAGAGATTACCTTCTGTGGCATGAGGGCAGCTCAGTCAGTCACTGACCAAGGCTTAATCACCACTCCGAAATCCCTAAGCCCAGCCTTGCCTAACCGAGTCCCCAGAAAAGGTGTTGAACTGTATCTCCCATCACTGGCCAGTGGCTTTGCTGTGGGGAAGGGTGGGAATGCGGCCCAACACGTGCAGTGGACATCAGAGTGGGGAAGACTCATATGGATGGACATGGGGATGTTAAAGAAAGCCACCACAGATTCAAATGAGTTTGAATTTCTAAGGATCCAACTTGCAGATTCCATAGGAGGCAAGCTTTTCCTGAATCATGCAGATTCCATGGATTGGCAGACTATGTTTTTTACACAAATTTCATTGATGAAAACTATGAAAAGGAAAAAAAACACAGATCAAAATGTGTATTTCCTCAACACCTGGAGTGCGAAAATAGGCATTTTGGGGGGATTTATGCATTTTTGGTAGAGCAAACTTGAAGAAATGTTTAGAAATGCATTTGCACAAAATCGAGTTCTCTCAGTAAATGGATCGCAGAATGAAAGGTACCTGATAATCCATGAGGCATAGATGGGAGAGTTCTTAAAACTTTTTTTGCACTCCTAGATGGTCAACATCTCTGGACAACAGCCTTCTTACCTGGCCTGTTTTACATGCCTGTTCTATAGATGTTTTGTTTCAAACCATTCCAATGTTTCAGGGTGGGGCAGACTAGGAATTTAAACAAACCCTGTGGTTTGGCATTTGCAATTTTTTTCCCTATTCAGAGACCTCGGGAGCAGAGAATGCATTGGCAGAAGAGCATTTGATTCCTATAGCAGGTGAGACAATTTAGCCAGGGCTCTGAAATTCCTTTGACAGTCCGAGTACCTGAATAACATGCATTTTCCACATTTCTAGCATTGTGGTGGTTAAATTTCTCTCAGGTCTCACAAGGATTTGCCGATCACTCCCACAGCATGCTATACGTCCGGGCTAGAATCGTTTTCTCAAAATGCAGCTCCAGGCAGAGCCAATAAATATCATTCTCTCCACTGCCTCAGTGCCAAGTTGTACCCAAATTGCTTTTGGGGGAGGGGGGAGCTGAAGCATCTTCCCCAGAGACAAAGCTCCCAGAGCTTTCCCGTTAGTGAAACTCCCTTTCCCTGGCAAAATCTCACTTCTAGCAGCAGCCCTGGCAAGGTATGATGCGAGGTCTTGGAGCATCTTCATGCTGGCTGTAGTAGCTGCTAGGTTGGAAGCAGTGCTACTCGTCCTCCGGTAGCGTCCTCCGGAGGGTGGAGGGGCTGCCCTGATGGGGGAAAAAAGCTTGAAAGAGATGCCCTCTTTATCTTTCTATGTTTGTTCCATTTCAAGAACATTTTTCCTCCTGCCTTTCCACTTCATAAAAAGGAGCTTTGCATATTGCCCCCGGGGGAGCACTGTGGGGGCTTCTGTCTTGTTTTCGGCCCAGATCTCACCTCTTCTCTGGGCATCCCTATATGAGTTTTCTTGACACCTGTAATGGCGGTCTGTCTTTCAATGCAGGGAGGCTGCAGTCAGAGATGTCCCTTCGGAGACCACCATGGGGCAGGATACTTTCAGCAGGTGAGCAATGAAGCCTTTCCTTTGAGTCCCCCAATGCTGCACTTTCATCAGTAGGTGCCTGTTCTTCATAAGGGATAAATATTTAGAGAGGAAAATCAGATTGGATTCGCATGACAGCAGTGATCTCCCCCTTAGCTTTATTCAGCAGTATTTGTTTACAATCTGTTTTCATAAATGCTTTTTTATCTTTGGCAAATTTATTTCTCAGTGTTGTACTTGGGCTTTACCAAATCTTAAGAAGCCCCAAACTGCTCTTTTAGATGTCTTGTGCCTCTTAGATTGTCTTCAACCACAGCATACAAGTCCTACAGCTGCAACTTCTGTGATTAAACCAGATTCCTTCAGTTCATTGGTTTATTGTTGCCAGTGGAAGTTGCACTCTTGTGTGTAGCTGCAGGCATAAATATTCCACTCTGCTGCAAAAAAAGAAAAGACGTGTACTTCATTTTTGACGAGCCATGAATGAGAACCAAGTGAGATTATGAGAATTTGAGGATAACTCATACAGAATGTTTTCAACTCACCTTCCCAATACTAGAGTTTGGGGATCACCCAGTGAAGTTGGTGTGCAGTAAGTTCAGTGCAGACAAAAATATTTCTTCCAGTCAACTAAGTTGGATGATTGTCACAAGCTTAAGATTTCTAGGAAAGTATTGGACAAATTCATGGTTGTTTGCCATTATAGCTACATAGAGTCTCCCATGTTCTAAAGCAGTATATAGATCTATGACTATATGGCAGAAGGACAACAGGGAAAGGCTGCTAACTTTCATGAATTGCTTATGGTGCTTCAGAAACATCTGATTGACCAACCTCAGTTGAAAGCAAAAAGCTGGATTAGGTAAACTAAGCCAGCACAGCAGTTGTCTTGTTCTGATCAGCATGGCAACTTTATGAAAGTATGTTTGTGCTTTCAGAAATAAGGCCCTTGGCACTTAAATAAATGGCCTCTTTTCCTATCTGGAACTGCTAGACCGCAATGTAATTCTACCTTCCTGCACTGTATAGCGCAATATGCCTGCTTTCTGACCTCCAGTGTGGCTCTTGAACAATGGGGTGGCAGCTGTGTTTCCTTTCCCGCACAGGGAACCTTTGACATTACACATGGCAGACCTGGAAGATCATGATGCGACCCTCCCATTCACATCCAGCGGTGAGCTTTCACTCTTGTATTATGCGATGATCACTTATAAAGACACAGTTTCAGGGCAGAGATCTGTAGAACAACTGGCTTTGGTCCCTGAAAGCACTACTCACATTAGCTCCAAGGCACCTAGCAATGCATTTCCCCACTGCAAGGTGGCTGTAGATAGGGACTTTGGTTGCAGTCCTATGGCCAGTAGACGCCCTCTGGCTGGCCCCTGGAAAAGCTGGAGACCTCACTGCTTCCTTGGGAAAGGCATTGGACTCTGTCTTTGGAGGACCCTCCCTCCTCAGGTGCAGCCAGAGCAGTTCCTTCCCAAAGAGGGAAGACCACCTCCAGATCAGGTGCCTGGGGAATGTTCCAGGGGGCAGAAGTGGAGGAATACAACACCATCCTCCTCCAAAGAATCCCAGTGGTGACCAGCCTCTGTCCTTGGAAGGAGTGGAGAGGGGGTAACAAAGAGTGCCAAAATCAGCTGCCTGAATGTTTTGGAGGGTGAGGGGATGATGTCCATGTTCTTTCCTCGTTGGATTGGATGCCTGTAGCCTTCTCAGTGGGAGGAACGCTGCCCTTTCTTCCTTAGGTGCAGACCTATTCAATTTTACACAGAGGAAAGGTCTATAACTCCCAGCATGCCCCCACTAGCCTTGCTTGCTGGCCTGCCTGCCTGCCTGCTGCATCTCAGATACTGCCTTTGTACCAAACTATTCAAGGAGTTTTACTATGTAAAATGATAGCCGGATTGTATTAATGCAAAAGAAAGGGGAATGAAAGGGGAAAACAAGTAGGTTTTGGTATTGTCTTATATAGTGACCAGGTGACATGGTCATTGCAAAGAGCCAGTTCTGGAATGAGAGGAGCTGATGGAGGAGGCCTTTTCATCTCACCTCTCCCTCTGCTGCTGCTGGAGGAGGAACCAAATGGCAGCAAGTCCTGGCTGAGCCGACAGAAGGAATCTTGCTGTCTTGCCTTTGCATGAAATGCCAGCAGGGAAAAAGCATTACCATTTGCCATAACTGCCAGTTGTACAGGCCACTTCAAATCCTGGGAATGGAAAGGCTGAGAATTCTCAGTTGGTGATCTGTCCAGGAACGACTACAGTTCCTAAGATCTTCTGTGAAAGAGATCATGTTTTAGCTTTGTAAATATGGCTTCAAAGCTGTGTAAAACTTGCTTTTTAAATAGGTGTTTGCTTTTTAGCAGCCTTTCTTCATTATGCACTTTCTGCCATTCAGTGACTCGATCGATCTTCAGTTCCACTCCTCGTTTTACATCTTCTAAAAAACTGTCCCCCAAGGAGAGGCACAAAGATAGGTCTCCCGTGCACTCGCTGTTAACTGCTTCACCGGACGACCTTAAGGCAACTCCTGCATCCTCTTTGGAGCACCGGTCAAGTCTGAAGAAGAGCAGCTCCCCAGAAGCTACACCCTCAGCCACCTGTACAAGTGAGTGTCAACTCCGAATCCAAGCAGTCATGAAACCACCGGAACAAGGGAGGGTTTGGCCTCCACATTAACTTTCTGTTTCACATCAGTCCAGAGCAAGTCAGTCATGGGGATCCTCAGGCAAAAATAATCATATTTCAGAGTAGCTAAACAGCCAAGCATTATGGAATAATGATGTGAAAAGAAACAGACCATGCCCAAGGCTTCATGCTCTGAAAAGAGACAGTACTGTACTAGGAGATGGAGGTATTGCTAGGCTCCCTTTCTGGGTCCGGAGACCTCCGTGTCTCTCAGTGCCCATAGAAGAGGATTTTTTCCCTGTCGGAATTGCCCTGCAGGGAGCCATTTTCAATGGGGGCTGCCCATGTGGATGGAAGAGTTAACCCTCTCCATACGCTACAACACCCCTGCAGAGCCCTCCCTGCATGGAAATTAGATGAAGAAAACACTTCCATTATTTTTTGTGCCACCTTTTCTTCTAGGAGCAGCAATGAATAGAGGGCAGGCAGAAGCCAGAGTAGTGTTGTGAAGTGAGCATGACTTGGATCTCAGGTGCACTCCGTGCTCGTCCTCAGTGAGCCATGCAGCAGACTGGGTGCCTCTGGGCCAGTTGCTGATGGCCAGCCCAACCCACCTCACAGGGTTCTTGTGAGGACAGAACTGAGGAAAGTAGGATGATTGGCTAAGCTGCCTTGAGTTCCTGGCAAGAGGAGGAACGATGGGATATAAATGTAATGAATGAATAATAATAAATGATAGCTATTTCTGCAGTAGCAGCCCCTGCAAACCTGAGTCAGGGCACAGAAGAGGTGAATGTGCAAATAAAGGGAGGTTAACAAGGCAAATATATGTATATTTACCAGGCTGTAACTTGCACTGGATACAGGGAGGATAATCCCAAGTATCTGTGAGCTGCAGAATCAGATCTGCCACCATGTTGACTTGCAGTAATAAAATTATGAGATAATATAGATTTTGGAATGTGACCCAAAGGAAATTCCAGAGGAAAGCATGCTTTATATATAACGGCACATGCATCAATAAGGCTTGGCACGTGTCCACAGAGATGAAGTGCCTTTTTTATCACCATGAATGTATTGATTTACACCGATCTGTGTATTGCTGTTATTCTTCTCCCAAAATGGGTGTCTCCTTTACCACCAGTTCTTGTAAGTATAATTTCACTTTTTGGACACCTTCTTTCGAACATGTGCATTTGCTCTGAAATGTAATGATGGTTCTGAATTTACAAGTCTGTTCTCATCGCTGAAATTGAGACCTTTTATTGTGAACTCCCTGGAGAAGAGCCTAATGCTGGAAACAATAGATGGCAAACGAAGAAGGGGACGGCAGAGGATGAAGTGGCTAGATGGAGTCACTGAAGCGGTTGGTGTGAGCTTGAGTGGACTCCAGGGGATGGTAGAGGACAGGAAGGCCTGGAGGAATGTTGTCCATGGGGTCGCGATGGGTCAGACACGACTTTGCGACTAGCAACAACAAATGGTGAACAGTCTCCCTACTTGCAAAATAATAAGAAAAATAAAATCATCCACTTTATATATATTGCTCTGCCCTTCCCCCTTTGTAGAAACAGCATTTCAAGGTTCATTATCTTTGGAAATCATGCAGGAACTTGGTACCTGGTACAGAAACTGAATTTTTGGGATTCTCAGCCTTTTTAAGGAAAAAACCTACAAGGTTCATGCCCACAGAATAGATAACCACTATGAATTATGATAAATACTATAATTGTATTTTATACATGCAAAAATGTGTTACTATTTACCTCAGTAATCCTTACAAATCCCTGAGAGAAAGACCAGAATTATGAAAGCCCTAAGGAGCTAGCCCAACTCATGAACCTTTAGCAGCCTGGCAGCCATACTTTATTTATTTATTTATATTGCGATTTATATCCTGCCTTTTTCCTACAAAGGGCTCAAGGCAGCTTACATCATTCTCCTCCTCCATCTTATCCCCACAACAACAACCCTGTGAGGTAGGCTGGGCTGAGAGTCTGTGACTGGCCCAAAGTCACCCAGGTGGCTCCATGGCTGAGCGGGGACTAGAACCCAGATCCTCTGAGTCCCAGTCCCATGCTCTTCACCACCACACCACACTGGCTCTCTTGTGGCTGAATGTTCCTTTTATAGCTCTGGCAGTTTAACTGATAAGATATTATGTCCATAGCTAATCAAGCAGGAGAAGCAGATGAAAGCACATGCAGGAAAATACAGAACAAGATGGAGAATCTGCAGAACCTGGTGGAAACGTTGCAGTTGGGAAACCAAGGTAGGGAAACATTCACTGCATGAAGACCCAATAATTTAAAATAATTGGATTATTATTGGATATTTTGCTTTGAGCCTAGAATAGGGGTGTGATACCTCTTTCAGCAGGTGTATTTATATTGCACACTTAATGTGCATTGTGCTTTATACAGTATGGGGAACCAATTTGTGCTAGAAGGTCTTACAATCCAAAATTCAGTATGGGAGAAACAGAGGGAAAGGGGGAAAGTGGTGAAAGGAAGAGGCTGTGAAAATGCAGTTTTCATCCCGGTGTAGCACAAGAGTGCTTTGCAAGCCTCACCCCTTCTCCATCTGCTGTATTTATTATGCAAATATCTACTCCTGCAATGATTTAAATGCTAAGAGATGCCGGAGGTTTGGCTATGGGTGCACTAAGAAAGCCTAACTGTGCTATAACATGTTAGCTGCCATTCAGAATGTACCCCTGGAGGTGTCATCTTGTGAAATGCCAGACTGGACAGTGCATGTACCTTATGAGCATGGATTTATGTTCATGTGCCCTAGAGCCAAGGAATTTCTCCACTCAGAAATTTCCTTTCTGGAGACACACGTGGCAGGGACCCTTCAAGAAAGGAAATTCTAGAACCTCCCACCAGCTGCAGGAATCTGTGCATTGTCTGAGTGCATGCATCCTACAGAACCTTCAGAAGCCAGAATCACGGCTGTCTTAGTCCTGCCCTCCTCGTTGACTCAGGAAGACATGTGCTCATTTATTTATTTAAAACTTTTATGTGCCGTCCTTTATGTATCACATCTCATGATGGTGGGAGCTATGATGTGAGATTGACATGCTGCCAATCCTCTGAGACCATTGCTTACTCCAGGAAAGCACCTCTAAATGGAACGCATGCAGGGAAAACGATGCACCAGTGTTGCAAAGATGATGTCACACAGCGTGGGTGTACGTGCACTCCAAGCCACGGAGTATGTATTCCCTTGTGCAGTAGCAATGACCTTTTCATCAACACTACTTTTAGCAATGTCTACAATGATCAGATGCCAGGGGAAGAAGATTGAGCGAGCAAAGGAAAAGGAGAAGAAGCTTTCACAGTGAAGCACGGTATGGCTTGCAATCACTCGGGTGTATCTAGATTGTGCTCTGCTGAATGGAATGTTAAGAGCCTATGGAAAGTGTTTGATAATAAAAGTTGGCCTCGTTTTGTAATCTTGACTCTTGGAGGTTTGGTAGGCAGAAACTGCTTGTCCCCCTTTGTGTCATGAGCCTGGAAGTGGCCAGATTTAGTGAAGCATAATAAATGAATGTGGATTACCCACAAGGACATTTCTGAATATGGCGCAGTGGTTTAAACCGCTGTGCTGCTGCTGGGCTGGCTGATCGAAAGGTCGCCAGTTCGAATCTGCACAGTGGGGTGAGCTCCCATTGCTCCGTCCCAGCTCCTGCCAACCTTGCAGTTCGAAAGCATGCAAATGCAAGTAGATAAAAAGGTACCACTTTGGTGGGCAGGTAACAGCGTTCTGTGCACTTTGGTGTTTAGTCAGGCCGGCCACATGACCATGGAGACTGTCTGCAGACAAACACTGGCTCCCTCGGCTAGGAAACAGAAATGAGCACTGCCCCCTAAAGCCAGACAAGACTGGACTTTAATGCCAAGGGGAAACCTTTACCTTTTTACACCTACCTAGTCTTTACTATTTTAAGAATTTTAATGTAATTTTCAATATATTAACACTAGAATTACTAATCAGAAGTCAGTTTGTTTATTTATTTATTTTCAAATTTATAGACTGCTGAATAGCCTGATATGGCTCTCTGAGTGATGAACAACAGTAATATATAGGCCAACAGTACAATTCCAAGTATAGGGTGGTAAAGAGGGGGAAAGGAAAAAGGAAAAAAAAAACGGTGAGCTCTTGCAATCAGTTGGTAAAAATCAGGTCTTGAAATACCTGCAAAAGAGGCGTTTTTACCTGGGGCCAAAGTGAAAGTAGTGGTAGCACCAGGTGACCCTTTTCTGGGAAGCCCATTCCAACAGTGGGGGGCAGCCACTGAGAAGGCCCTTCTAATTGCTGTCCCTTTTGTTTCCTTTAAGGGTGGGTCTTTCAGAAGAACCTCATTCCCAAATCTCAGTGGGTGGGTAGGAGTACATGGGAAAAGGGAAGTCTGTACATATGCGCTGATGGCCCGTCTTTTGGACTATAGTGTGAAATGAAAAAGAGAGAGAAAAGCGTACAGTGACCTCTGCGGCTTTGCAATGTCGTGAGTCACCATGCAGAAGCCTAAAACACTGCCGCTGTGCTGTGGGCAGCCCTGTGTCAATCTTACAAGGGCTGAACGGGGCTATGGCAGGGTCAGGGGGGCACTGCTGAGAACACGTTCACTGTGAATGCTGCTTTGCGACTCACCGAAAGGCTCCGTCCACCTGGTGGGGTTAGACATCATAGCAGGAACACGCAGGTGCGTGGTTTCTTCTCACAGCAGCGGAATCAGCGGCACTCCGTCGCATGTGTTCCTGCAGTGCTGACTCTGAATTACAGATCTCTTTCTCTGAACTAAAATGTGCCTTCCAACTTGATTCTTTGCTCCATTCGGGGCCAGAGAGGGGTGGTGGTAGAAATTGTGTCTCTCCAGGTAGCGTGAGGACTCCAGCCCTAATCAGCCCCAGCCAGGAGAGCCAGTTGCCAGGAATGATGGGAACTCTCGTTTGCATCTGGGGGGCCAGTTTCCTTAGAAACAGTCCTCCTCTGTGTGTTCATCAGATGATCACTTGCCCAAGGGGATACATTCCATCTGTTATCTGCCTCTTGTGAAACCAAGCCCTCTGTGAGGATCTGCCCATGGGCAATACTTGGACTTTAGACTGCTGTAGGACAGCACAGCTCTCTCACTGCATGCACACACCTCTCCCAAGGTAAACATCGTCCACATTCAAAAGGGTTACGGTTAGATGTTAATCTAGTGCCGCAAAAACAGCAAAAATCTGTGTGGCACCATAAAAACTAGCCACTTTATTCTGGCCTACGTTTTTATGGACATCTGATGAAACAGCTGTTGTCCACGAAAGTGTATGTCAAGATAATTTTATTAAGTTTTCAAGGTCCCACCAGACGCTTTGCTGCTTTCACTTTCAAAAGGCAGTGCGTTGCATTCAAGTGCAGGCACAGTCTGTGGTCTAATCCCCGTCAGTGGAGGAATGCTCCCACTGGCGTAATTTTTTCAGCTGATGATGTCGTTAAGTCATTATTTTCACTCAAGTGCTTCTTTCACTTTTGATTTGCTTGGCCCTCAAAAGTGGGCCTTGCAGGGGTGGGGTGTGTGCAAAAATCCCCCCCACCCCCGCAAGAGAGAGGTGGCCCTCAAGGTATTTTAGCCTGTAGCTCCCTTGATTTTTTCTTCATTGGCTATGCTTACAAGTTGCCCACCGCTGACCTCAATGCTTGTCCAGGAAAGGTTTTAGGAACATCTGAATTGCCTCATTAGAACAGATGAAAAGGTTGATTTGCTCAAGTTTTACTCCTTCAGCAGCAGGCAGATGTCGCTGCGAAGCTCAATTAGGTGATGCTACAGCTTTATAAAATTTCCAGCTCCCTGTACCTGAGAAGTACAATGTTATACCCATAGCAACTACAGCAAAAATAGACTCCTGGGGCACTGTAAAGATGAACAGTTTATTTTGGCATACGCTTTCATGCACTGTAGTTCACTCTGATGAAGTGGACTGTGAACTCATGCAAGTTTATGCCAAGATAAATTTGTTTGTCTTTAAGCTGCTACAGTGCTCTACAATGCTCTGAGCTAAGCATTGACCGTTTCAGTCCTCAGGCTTCTTGCAGCGATTGTGACAAGGGCGAGCAAGCACCATTCAAGCTGGTGCTAGATGGTGTTTCACAGCAGGGACCCCAGCACCATGGCAGAGCCCCTGCTTTGCTTGTGGAGGGCCCAGGTTCCATCCCTGGCTTCCCCAGGAAGGGTTGGGAAAGAATCCTTGGCAAACTGCTGCTGCTAGTCAGTGCCAAGAATACTGGGCTAGAGACCCTAAGGATCAAGCTCCATATAAGGCTGCTTCCTACGTTCCTATACTATTCAAAATTAGATGGTATAGCAATGGATATAAATTTCAGACGGGATCTAAATTTAGGTGCAAGTCTTAGACTAAAGTTGAAGTGCCATCTCAATGGCCTCAAATTGCAGTCTTCTGACAAGACCATTTCTCTATTTGAGAGGAGCACTGATTTTGCTATAGCCCTGTTTAAACACAACACGACTGGTTAAAGAATGACTGTGTGGTGAGGCAGCAATTTCTTTCAAGCCACCGGGCAGGTCCTTGACCCCGCTGACTGCAGAGTCTCTCTGGATTATGTTGTTCATCAGTTGAGCAAGAGCACAGCCACAGGGAATATCCTCCAGCCTTGTACGCAAGCACTCTTAACCCTCCTCGGACAGACTCTTACACACAGAGGACAACAGAGAAATACTCTGTAGCCATGGACACTTGGTTCAGCCACAAACAAAAGATCCCTGCTGGAGATCATGTTCCATTCCTGGAACCCTGAGCTCACAGGTGGGTCATAACCACTTTGCATGGCCAGAAGGAGCACAGCCTGGGCTCGTTGTAAGCAATCCCACAGCGGTTTGTGAACTGTGTTCCAGTTCTGTCTCCTGTGAGGTTAAGCGAAAGGCTCCTCGATATAATCAGTAATGACAGACAGGCCTTACCCTCAAAGACAGATTACCTACCTTGTCGGTTTACTCCCCACGGGGTACTGCCACAAGTACACACTGCATGCGGGCATCTACAGAAGCCCAACAACTGAAAACAGTCCATGAAGGCTTATACCAATGGCCAGCATCCTGTGTAAACTCTTAGCAGGCTCCCCAGACCATCTATAGCCCACAAGGCTTCTATGCACATCATCCACAGCAGAGGAACCAGCATGAGGAGAGTGCCTTGGTTCCAAAACCATTGGCTTCATACAAGCAAAATAAATGGGCATTTTCTGGAAGATTTCAGATGTCTCTTCCCCAAGGACTTCCTTACAACAGCAAAAGAAAACTATCAAGATAGGTTATGTAGTTCATGTCATTTGTTTCTCCCACACACACACACACACTCACTCACTGGCGAGGTTTACCATGATTTATTAGTCAAATTGTCAAGTGGTTTCTGTGTCATCGTGGTTTTTCATCCTTCCTCTTCAGTCCTCCCACTCCCGGCACGTCTCTCTCCATGCACGAGATTCAATGCCAATGTGCGTTGCCCCCTGCCTAGGTCACCTACCTCTTCCTCTTTGGTCCGCACTTAAAGGCTGGAGTGGCTTCTGCAGGTGCCACTTTTTCCAGGGGACCCTGTGGTAGTGCGATGCCAGGTCTGTGGAAACCACAATCCTGGGTTTGGACAATAGAAAAAGCCATGATGGTATTAAAAAAAACCCCCACAGAACCATGGTTTCTTACTGTGGTTTCTACAGATGAATGTACCACAGTGAAATACTATGACTCGGTCCAGACAACAGAGCAGACCCACAGTGGTTAAAATAACACCATGGCTTGCTTTGTTGTCTGAATCTAGCCAGACCACAACAGACTAGGTTCCAGAATACACACATGAAGAACAGAAGCAGTGCTTGTGTACTTCTAGACTCTGAAACGGGCCATGTGGGTTTACCTCGAATGTCTGTGCTGCTGGTTTCCGATTTTATTTGCTAACCAAATAAAAACCAACCTTCCTCAATCTGGTACCCTCCAGGTATTTTGGATTACAGGTCCCAGCTCTGCCTACCATTGGCCATCCTGACTGGGGCTGACAGTAGTTCAGTCCAAAACATCTGGAGGACAGCAGGTCATGAAAGACCGTGCTAAACCGTGCTGTCCAAATTGAGATTATGTTCCCAACCTGTCAATGCAAGCATGAACTCCGCAGAAGCAGGCACTGAGCTACTCCAGTGACGGGCGAAGTGGCTTTTAATTGGTGAACATCTGAATCAGCTAAATAATGCAGCTAATCCTCTCAGACAGACCTCCAACATGCCTTTAAGTCCACTTGCAAAACTTAAAAGCCTCTGTTAAGGCTGCTGTAACCTTTGTAATGTATTGCTGGCAAAGAAAATTGTACTCATGCAAAAGTACTTGCTTTGAATTATCATTTAGTATTTTGAGAGCAGAACTAGCTTCAACTCTGCTAGCCATTAGCAAGTGAGGTCCTCAATATGCTAACAAAGCATCACTACATGATAGGCCTTCCTGATTATAATATGCTTCTGAATTGTATTTTTAGTTGCAGGGACAGAGAAACATTGGATTTTCAGGTGCCAACATATGGGCACGATGCACCCGCCGTGACTTGGGGAGAGTGGGAGGAGGCATGCTCTTCCGCTTCAAGCAGCAAAATGTCTCAGTAGAAGGAAGATGGACGAAAGCCAACACAGAGAGGCTGGGACATCAGTTCTGTGGTGCTAGTAAGAACTGTCAAGCAGCAAGGAGGGACCGATTTCATCTGCCACTGAAAACAGTCGCCCAAATAGCTGAAGAAGGGCCAGCCTAGAAAAGATGCCATTCATACGTCAATTGTATGGATGGGTTTTGGTTTTGTTAAGGTAAAAGTAATATGGGGAGTGGTGACTCAGTCTAGACTAGAACCCAGGTGTAGTTTTAATCCTTTATCTGTCACTTGAACCTCAAATTGCCTGTTTGCATTGGGGGAAAATTCTCATTTGTACCAGTGCAAACTTTTCATCCAGCACAACAGAAGTCAAAGAACAAACACCCCCTAAACTTTGACCTCATGCTATGGCCCTACTCCACCCTCTTTCCCCAGTTATTTGTTTTTAATCACATTGCATGAATTGCATCTTTTCTAGTTTGGCTCCTACTTTTACTATAACATCACTGCTTTGTACTCTGATCCTCAAACCACTTCTACAGTCTCACTGGCTGCAGGCCTTCCTTCAAGTTGGATATTGCAGCCAGGGTCTTCCAGTTAGTCCAAAGCATGTCCAGAGCGGATTTGTTGCTAGGGGTTTTTTGTTTTTTTGTTTTTGCATATTCTGACCGTACCTCAGATTCCTTGAGAAAACAAACAGCTGTGTGGCACCTTTGAAGACTAAATTGTAGTTTTCAGCTGCTCCAGCCCCCAAGTTTACAGCACAAATTTCAGTGGTTTTCTCCTGGACAGTTTTTTCAAGAAAATGGGATGGCAAAAGCATTTGAAGTATTGCATTTAAGATGCTATGTATTCAACATAAGTATCAAAATCGCCTGTTGAACATGGGCCTTATTTCCTTTGTATCCAAAGAAGACAAGAGGTCTGCCCAGACCCACTGTCCAGCCACTGGGAAGTTTTTGTTTTTAAACTGACCACATATTTTGTGGCTCTCGGCTAGTTTTCTTCTATGCAAGGGGATACTAGCAGCTCTATAAACTTTGATACACTAGAGCGAGCGTGGGTCCTCAAACTAAGGCCTGCGGGCTGGATCTGGCCTGCAATGCCCATTTAACCACCCTGCCCCACAGGTTTTGCACTTGCCAAGCGTGCGGCTTTCGTGCGGCTTTCTCACGAGTTCGTTTTGGACTAGCTCGGAGAAAATGATCTCCTCGTGAGCAAGCCCAGGGGCTTGCTCGGAGGAAGTCAAAACAAAAGGAAGCCAACTTCTACCTAGTCACAGCTTTAGTTTATCTAATCTACTGCAATCTATTCTATTTGTGGCTTTTTCAAAGTCTCAGACAAATATCCCCAGGCTTGCTGAAGTCTTCTATGTGCAAGTTTTATGCTGTCAAGCCTCTGCCTCCTGCCCATTTGTTTTGCCAAACACCACCTTCTACAGAACTTTATTAATACACTTGCAAGAATTCACATGGGATGGTATGAAGGTGTCACTAGGAATTAGATCAGCAAGAAACAAGACTGATTTAAATCAAGTTTCCCACTGAGATTTCTTTATATAGTTCTTCAGCAATGACACAAATTCAACATCTGCAAATGTAAATGTTCATAACTGAGAAAGGATCAAGTTTTTCATTTATATAAAAAGTGTCCTTTAATTCAATATACGTAGTAGAGGGCATTGATTCTGTTTACAGATTAACTGTAAGGCTAACATGCTTATATTCTGATTAATATTTAGAGAATTTAAGCAACACTTAATGTGTACATTTTTTTAAAATCCAGAACCTGTTTTTGCCCATCCTAATGGCAACTCCTCCTTTTGAGGACTGCAATGCAATTGCCGGCCACGGTGCTGAGCTCCTTCGATTCACCTTTCATGTTATTACCTTCCCTTCCATTCAAGGAGCTCAGAGCACCACTTCCTGTTCACAGGACCCTGCAAGGTAGGAGCATCCTCTATTATGCTATTGACCTTATCATTTTTTCAACCTAAACTACCTCATAGGCATGTTAAGTCTCCAGTGCTTTTCAAGTGATTTCACAGCCTTACAGGAAGCCGACCCCTTTAGACTTTCTAACAATCTTTATCAAATTTAAACCACAAGACAGGAATATTGAAATCCAGCACCATTGCAGGAATGTTCAGGGACAAGTAATCCACAGTTAAAGCTCATGGTAACAAGCTGGAGCTTCTGTGGAGCTGTCCTGTAATAGGCTTACCACTCAAACCACTTCCCTGTAGTTTTGGTCTAGTTGGTTTGTCCCCCTTTTAACTTTTCCTCTTCTTCTTCAGAGAACACATTTCTGTCATGACTTAACCACAGCCAGAAACCCACTGTTCGTAGGAAAGGCGGCATCAACTTCCTTCTGCAAGTTACACCAGCTTTGGACACACCTCACATGTTGGGTGGAGGTTCTTTTTGTTGCTGTGTGAGGCCATCATTCAAATTCATTTTGAAATCCTCAGGAAAAGAGGCCAAGTGAACATGTAGTACCAATTAATGCAGGACCCAACCACGAGAGCATTACTCATGTGAACAGGATACATGCTTTGAACAGGACAGCACTGCAACGCTTAGCACCCCCCTCCAAGGCCACACTGTTCCTTCTGTCCTCACTGCTGACCTACTTGGTGCAGCATCAGAGAACCTTCCTTTAGTTGTGGGGAAGCTTGCACATTTAAGTTCTTCACTATGCAGAGTTCTAAATCGTGCAAGCAGCCTCCACAACTAGAAGCACTTCCACGCTTCAGGCAGCCTGTGAAACCTAGCAGGAGAGAAAGGAGATGTGCATTTTCTTGGGAGAAACGCAGGGTGCGCATCAAATAAAGCTTTTAGGGAGAACATTGTAGCCCCTTCAGCACAGTTGGTTCCAAGAAGTAATATGTGAACACAGCTGTGTCAAGCCCCTTCTTCTCCTTCCTGGAGGAAAGAGGCCCACCCCACCACGGAAGGCGGGAGGAATCAGCCACAGCTTCGTGCCTACTTTCTATGATGTGTGCTACAAAAGTTAGTTGCGAGAATTAGTGCCAAAAAGGAATTTCCATAAGGATTATGGTGGCAGTGAGGAGAAGCACTCAGCAGAATTTCACCTGGCTAAAGGCCAGGCCAGCTCCTACTACAAAATTCAAAATATGAAAGGACAGTTATCAGTCTAAAAATCATCTTTATTGCTTTCTTATATAGTCACGATAAATTAAGAGCATTGTTACAGCGTAGTTTAACTACACCTCTCCCATTCTGTCGGTCAAGTGTCCATGGTTGCTACTCCTGTCTCCTCACACAGTACAATCCTCAAGCATAGGGGGTTTAAAGCTTTTAAAGCAGTGAGCCGTTCTGAAACGCTACTCACTAGAGAGACCTGATGTGTCTGTCACTAGGTTTGCTTTGGTCTGGTTCAATCTGCAAAGTATCCTTGTGTCTTAAAGCCTAGGCTAGCAGAAGAGAGACTTTACTCTAAGGCAGTTCTGGCAAAACATGCAGCAGAGATAAAATACTATGGTGGGCAAAAAACCAGGAAACACCTATAAACAAATGGAATAAAATGGGAGCCTCCATGTTTGGCCAGAGCTCCTGTTCAGTGATATCCCCACCACTTGTGGGCCACTCGATCCTCGTGCTCCGTTATTAGGGTTCGATTGCCACATTCTTCCCATCTTCTGACCTTCCCATTCTCCACTAGTATGAACTTCCACTCAACTCTGGTATCAACAGGTAGGACAACAGAGTCTGACCAGAACCCATCCTTGTCACACCTGAGTGGTACATAGTGTTGCCACTGGCCTAGACACTCATGGTCACCTGTGACAGCAATCAGCTGGGCTTCCGAGTGAGTGATGTAGTGCACACGGAAAACCACATGGACAGTCTGAGGCATTGGAGACACGGCTGCAACCCTCTTGGCTTGCTCTGGGTCCTTGCTGCTGGCATCGTCCACGCTGCTCTTCCTGGTTGCATCGCCCCACACGGAATGCTCAGGGACCATTTCCCATTCCTCACGATCAACTGAATTACGACACAGCGGTTCTTTGCACCTTTCTTCATGCTTGTCATTAGGTGTGCTTGTTTCTGGAGACGTGCCCGTGCCATGCATTTCAGCTTCTTGGCTTTGCAATGGTTCAGATGCCGTTGTAGGATAATTGAATGCTTCACCCCTTAGATATTCCTTGTAGTTCATTAAGGGAGTTGTAGGCTCCTTGACCTGCGGCTCTGTTTCGCAAGACTGTTCAGCAACACTGGCAGCACTGTTGGGAGCACTGTGTTCTCCTGGAAGATCCACCTGGTTCCCCACTGCCTCATGAGGACTGGACACATCATTGGCCTTTGTTGCAGAAATGACACTTTCATAATGGCTCTGAAGTGGCTCTAAACAGAAGGAGTCTTAGTCAGTCAGGAAGAACACCCTTCACTTGCCTCTGTCTTACTACATATAGTAACAAGAAACTTTACAGCCAAGAAGGTGATTTAAGCCCTCACAAGTGGCCCTCCTCTGCAATCCACCCAATTTATTTTTGTCCCCATTTCCACTCACTGCCAGCAGCAAATCCTCACCAAGATAGGGTGCAGCGGAAGGGGCTCTCTGGGGGTCGGAATGCCCCCACTTATAAAGCCAGGGCCACTCTCCCTCCCCCACCGCCTCTCAAGAAACATAATTTTACTGGTTCGTGGCTGACAGCTGCCACTGTGTTGGAGTCCTGAACGTAACATGGAATGAACGGGGGTTCAACAGGTCCTGGGAACTCCCTATCTGGAGAGGTCTGCCAGGCATGGATGTGTGTTTTCTGCGACACTTTCCCTCATGGTCAGCCGCTGCTCCTCAGCAACATGTGGTCAGCTTGCCTTTGCTACTCCAAAAACTACCTCCCACCTCCCTGACTCCCCACAAATCCTGGCTATTTATGCCTGCACTTCAGTTGTGAAGGACTGAATAGGCAAAAAGCAGCATCGGGGTCACAGAGAGTTCAAATTTATTTTTTGCAAGGGAGTAGTTAAGTCTCAATTGCAGCAGCTCCATTTCATTTCTCCTTTTCACATAGCTGACTGGGAGTGGTTTATGGAGGGTGGGCTTGGAAGAGGTCGTAGCTTTGAAGTGTGGCTCTGACTTATGAAGCGACCCTCTCTTCTAAATTTGCCACTAGACCACCTGCCCACCCTCCAGCACCTTTTGCCATTGCTTTCTGTGGAATGCTTACAAATGCACGAATGCTTTAATTTAATTTCAGGTAGAGGGGAGCTGAAAGCTATTCCTGAACTACCAGCAATTTCTATGGTCTGACCGACCCAGACCCATTGCAACCCAAACGCTAGATAAATTCAAAAGGGAAGCTGAACAGCGGAACCCTGGCAGGGGAGGCTTGCCTTGTGAAAGAGCTGCTGCCCCATTCCCCAGATACACACCCAGGGCGCTGCTCTTTTATTTCAAAACACCAGGCTCCACTCAAGGCCAGCTGGCAGATGAGGTACTTTAAGCAGAAAGTAACTTGGCTATGGCAAAACAATGGCATAAATAGCCCAGTTATAACTTTTGGCCAGTTTCCTACAAAGCCCAAACTCAGTTCTACACAAGAAACATTACATCACCCCCTTCCGTTTCAGTCTTCTAGTGGATTGCAGCAGAAACGCAAGTGGCACAATCCCAATCATTCTTACTTTTGCCAAAACTAATTTATTGGCACTACCTTTTCCTCCATGGACTTTTATTTTTGAACACAGCAAAGTTCCCAAGCAATATCCCAGACTTTTACTGCTTTGGGCCCTTTAGCTTTTACAAGGAAGGTCTTGTACTGCTTCAGCATGAATATACATAATAGCCAGCATGCCATTCCCACATGGAGGCTAAAAATAGGTTGATTTTAAGCCTGCAATGCCCATAAGCGTCTCTCAGACCAGCATGCAGCCAAGCCCTCCGGAAAAGATTCCCACAGGAGCCACAGAACTGGCTTGATAAGATCGCTGCCTGATGGGATCAGAGCAATGCAAAGGTCACCATTACTAGTATTCTTCTCATGCCTGCCCTTCTCACGCCTGCCCAGAAGCAATGCTGGAAGGTTGCTTAGCAGGCTAGCAAAAATCCAGGGCACTTGAGCTCCCTCCTTCAGGCCCTTTATTCTTCCTTGAGCTATACACAAATGGAACCCTTGAATCATACACAGATGCACACGACTTTTTTCCCCCTGGTCAGTCGATTACTTTCCATCTCTCCAAGTAATAACTCTGCATTAACATCAGGCAATATGCAATCTCTTACCGACAACTCAAGCATATGCCAACTGCCACTGCGGCGAATCACAAGCAACTAATGCACATATGAACCTTCTGCAACTAGGGGTGTTTTCACCGACTCCATTGTGTCTTTTTCCCCTTAGCAAATTTTCCATGTTAAGAAAGGTGACTGGAGAAATAATGGGAAAATACAGGAGAGCTACATGTGGAAGATGACAGTGACCGGACCCTTGCAAACCTCAGTAAGGCACAGTAATGTTGCGAAACATCCCAGAAGATCTGGATAACTCTTGGCACAAATGAGGGCAGCTTTACAAGAACATTCCCTGCAGGAGAAGATTCTGGATAGGCATAGAGTCTGGGGCAGTAGGTCAGAATCGCACAACACCAAGCATTCATGATAAATGTGCATGAATATGCAGGAAGGCATGGGCAAGTGGGAGAAGGAAACTGAAACAGACTTTCAGATGGGGACCACAAGTAATTAAAGAAGCAGATGAGCCCTCCTATCACTTCAGGTCAGCAAACCTTATCTCAAGGTAAGCTGAGTAGAGTGTAAAAGGTTTACTGAGTAAAGTAAACCTTTTTGTCACTGCTGGTAAAATCTGCATCCGTTGAATCTGCACCTGCACCACTCATATGTCTGAATTACAGGCTCTCTGCAAAACACCTTAAGTTTATCTAGCACACTGGACAGAAGTGCGGAGGAAAAAGAAAGCAAAGATGAGGGGAAAACGCAGCATATACACTTCAGGGAGCAAAAAGATTGTGGCAGAATCCTCTTCAGCACACCGATGAGAAGTGGCAGAAATAAGGTTGGACGGAGAGATGGCTCCAGAGGGTGGGAGCAAGGGGACACTTGACCAGTACCGTTCCCCCAAACCCCAAAGCTGGGCGAAAGAGCCGGGGGTGTGGGTAAAGGCTGGGGGGGGGGGGTGAATGCACGCGTGCGCGCACACCCTCTTCCTACGAACGAGAATCCAGCAACCTTGCATGGACTGCGAGGAAGAGGCTCGAGAGTCGCGGGTCAAGAGGATTTCGGACTCTCCAGTCACGGATTCTCAGCCCAGCCTACTTCGCAGGGCTGTCGTGAGGACGAGCTGCGAAGCAGGAGAAAGAGGACCCTGCGGACCCCCCCCCCCCCGGATTAATCGTGGCGGGGTATTATTTATAAACATCTGCATCGCTGACTAGGCTGCAACGTGCGAGCCGCTCTCCCCGGTTCATTGCAAGAGGGGAAAAAGCGAGGCGTCCGCGCCGCCGCAAGCGCGGCAGCACCGACTTGGCACCGGAGGGACGCTGCCGGAGGGGCCGCCCGGCCCTCCTCGGAGCCAAGCCGCGCGCGGGAGCGAGTACCTTTCGCAGCCGGCGCGTCCCGCTGCGGCGAGCCCTCGGCCTCGGCAGCCGCCGCCTTCTCCTGGGCGCCGTCGCCGCCTCCGTACCAGAGCCAGGCGATGAAGGCGGCCACCAGCGCCACCAGCAAGGCCGACCACATCCCCGCCAGAGACGCCCCGTCGCCGCTGGTGGCCAGCGCGGCGGCGGGCGGCGGCGGCGGCGGCGGGCGGGCGTCCGGGGCGCCGTCGCCCTCCTCGCCCGCGGCCATGCCGGCGGCGTGCCCAGGGAGGAGACGCGCGGCGACGAGAGGCGAGGCGAGGCGAGGCAGGCGCGGCGCGGCCCTCGGCGCCTTTTATGGCCCCCGCCGGCCTGGCACCTGCCCCGGGCCTAGGAGGAGCCTGTGCCCTCCCGCCGGGCCTCCGGGGTGGAGCCGCCGCCGCTCCCCCCTCAGCCGCGCCCGGGTCGAGCGGCAGGGCGCGGGCCTGAGGCCGCGGAGGGGCCGGGCGAATCTCCCCTGCCGACTGGCTGGTTTGCCTGCTCATTCAGTCCTCCTCCTCATTGGGTTCAAACATGGAAACAAACCAACATTAGAGAAACAGAAATAAAATGATAGGTTGCAGTTCTCTTACATGGCATCAGAATGAGCCTACCGCGGTGAATGTGATGAACTTTTAAATGTTTATATTATTCATTTCTTTAATTTCTTTAGAGCCCAATAACCACAGCTTTCTGGGTGGGTTAGGGGAATTCATAATATTGAGGCCGGAATGCAATAAAACACTGTGCTTTTTTCCAGTATGCAGCATTTTTAAAAGAATTGTAGCCTGCCCCTTAGACAAAATGACTCTGGGCAGTTTACAGAAATTTAACAGCTAAAACCATGGTTGACAAAAATATTTTTGTTATTTAGTCGCCAAGTCATTCCTGACCCATCGCGACCTCGTTGACAACATTCCTCCTGTCCTCCACCATCCCTCTGAGTCCACCCAATCTCGCTCCCACTGCCCCAGTGACTCCAGCTGACCAATATGCACCTGTTTAAAACAGCTGAGGGAGGTGACCCTTCCCTCCAGGTCTGTTCCTCCCTTACGCAAGCGTTTGAGAGAGATTCTGGGTGAGTTTGGGGCTTATTTCTGCCATCCCACCTCCTTGCAGTTTGAGGTATGGGCATGGAAACCCAGAACCATCACCATGGTGGGTACTCTTGATTGGGGAGGTTTCTCTCTCCTCTGCTTGCACCCCAAGCATGGTAAACATCTTACAAAATGCTAAAATGAAGCTCCTGTTCACTTTGAGACCTGTTAAGACAGATTGCAGTCAGGCAAAATTTGTTGTCATGTGCCATCAAGTCATCTCCAACTTAAGCAACTCTATGCATGAATGCTGTCCAAAATGTCCTGTCCTTCACAGACCTGTTCAATATATATGGTTGCTTCTCCGTATTCTTCTGCCTTCGACTTACTGTCTTTTCCAGGGAATCTTGCCTTATCACCCACCGTTCTATCCCTTTTGCTTCCAGAACAAGTTCTGACTTCTTTGATTTAGGTTCATCTTTCCATTGGTTCAGGGTATCCACAAAACTCTCCTCCAGCACCATGTTTTGAATGTTTGCAGTTTTGACCTGCCAGCTTTCTTCACTGTCCGGATTTCATGCCAGTACACAGTGATCAGGAATACAATGTGTGCATGATTTTGGCCTTGGTCTCCTGTGAAACTCATCCTTACACTTGATGATCTGTTTTAGTTCCTTCATTGCTGCCCTTCCAAGTCTCAGTCTTCTGCATTAGTAGAAGCACATGGACCAACTGCTGTTAAACAGCTGCTGAGGAGAATTTGGCAGAGCAGCATAGAACCTGTTGGATGGTGGGGGAATCAGAAGAAGAGGAAAGTTCTCAGATGTATTTTCCCTTTTCCCCTTAACTGACAGCCCACTGTACTTCACTGACTTGACTAGTGCTTCATTATACAAAACATCAGTTGTACACAGAAAATAAGATGTTCGGAAAAAGAGTTCTACCCTAGGCTTCTCCCAGATACACTAGTTGTCTTTGAGAAGGAATTGTTTTGGTTTGGAGAAGCAATCAGTCATGTAAGCCAGCACCTGGGGTGTGAAATGAAACAGCCCAGAAGGCATACGTAGGTTTACCACCATGGTAAGAACTAGACCAGATTGTGGGTTCCAGATCTGATCAATATTTTCCATTGGTTAAGTGTGTGAAGCCAAATTCCAAAGATGGGTGCTTTTAAGCATGATAACTGAACCTGCATTGGTTCTCAGATATTTGCATTGCAGGTACCACAGTTCAGTTGTGTGTTCCTTCAGCACCTTTACCACAGAGATGAGTTAAACTGCTCTTAAGCAGTGCTGGAAAAAATTGAAGTCACCCAGTAACACGATATTTATACCCAGCAATTTGAAGTACTCCTATTTTTCCTTTGTGTGGTGCATGTTTTATAAGTAAATGAAAAATTATTAAGCCCTGGTGGCACCAATGAACTTTCCTTCCACGTGAGCAATGATGGCAAGATTTAATGCATTCCTATGTTGCAGAAGGATTGCTTCTATTAGCCTCCTGCAATAAGTACCCACAGAGATGAACAGCTGCTGTACTCACATACTTGGACTCTTAACATGTTTGGATGCTTAAGGCATATTAAGACGGATGAACTTTCTAACTGCTGTTAAATGCTGGCTTCTCCCCCTCTGCGGGATTATTTTTTTAAAAGAAAATTTTCACACACTATATTAGATTTCTTAATGCTACATTGATTTTATTTGTAACAAAGGCTGGAGAGCTAAAGTATTTCAGAGGAGTGGGTGGCTGGTCTCCTTAGGGTTATCAGATCCAATTAACACAAATTAGATTTACCAATTATGCTAATTTAATTTTATCACCCATTTTGATGCTGCTCTTGAAACAGTGATGTCAGATTTTAGGACAGGATTAAAAGATTATTCTGGTGAAAGATTAAACCAACAGCCAAGGAAGTTGAGCTCAAGAAGATTTACAGTGCAGACTTTACAGATCTCCAGCAATTCAATGTTAGCTGAGAATCTCTGTTTCAAAATAGCCATTAGCTGTTGATTCAAAAGCTTGAAATGATCCTCAACTTTCTAAAACCTTTCTTTCCAGTCTATTCTCTTTACCGTTACCCAATAATGGTCCTAAATTGAATCCTAAGACCCACTAATGAGATCTCTTTCCTAGCTATCTCATTAAAAAAGGGAATGGCTAATTGGATGTCTGTGTGAATCTATTTCCAGTAAGCAGGATTCATACTCTTCCTGTGTCATTCAGAGCTTTTAACTTTACAGGATATTAAATGTCATTTTAATTTATAGCTGCCAAGTGTCCAGTGTTCACAATGGCAGCCTCAAATTCTCAGGAGTGAATGCCTGCCTCTCTAGAACTTACATTCAAAAATAAAACAAACCTGTCTTCCTCTGCATGGGACTAACATCACAGTAAATATGTACAGGATCATGCCATTTATCTGTAATTTCATAGAGCTCTAATAGACTTAACACAGCTACTTTTCTGCAGTTTGTATGTCTTGCAAAGTGGAAATTATTGGATATGTCTGTAACCAATCCTTTAAAAATATAGCATAACATTGCAATTCTATATTAATTTACATAAAATAAAGGCATGATCAAATCCACATTTGGACATAATAGGTCCTTCAGCTCCCAGCATTTTCTAGCCAGTAGCACTTAATTCAGAAGAAAAAAGCATATGATTATACTGTTAAAACCCCATATTCAGTAAGATCTTACTATTCTTAATTAACTGGAAAAAAAATCTCCCAAAGTACTTGAAAATAACTGAGTATGCTTTGAATAACTCATGACCATCGCTAATAGTAACATATCTATGGTGGAACTTCTTACGGCAGTGTTGGAATTCATACAGATGATCATTTGGGTTTCAGTAAAAGCTGCAAATTCCCTCTACTTGCAGATCCAACCCTCTCACACTGTAATGGACACTGTAATGGCAGCTGATTTGTCTTGTAAAGCATTTCGCCACATAACATCTGTTAGTGACTGTCAGGACCAAGCTGCTGGTATTATAAGAGTGAAATGCCACCCTTTTGCCAGCAAGTGCCTGCAGATAAAGCTGTGGATAGTCTCAGGAGCAGTTCCATGGTGATGTTTACAATCATCAAGTCACATTCCTCAGAGCAGAACCCTTTTTGGGACATGGGCCAACCCAAAATAAAAACAAACTTGTGCAGCCCTATCTTACTCATGCTTAGAAGTCCCAGAGAATTAGATGATATTTATTCCCAGGTGCTTACATAGGAGTGCAACCTTAATTTTCTTTTCTTTTTTTAAGGAAGCACTGAGTACACACATCTCTTCCAGGTGAATCAGTGAGAGCCATAAATGTTTAACACACTCTCTGGCTTGCATTCTTGTTCACTTTTAATTTTATTTGTGTATGTGCACTAGGACTATTTAATGCCTTTAGGTAATCAGTCACATGGAAGTAGGAATATTATCCAACAGGGAGCAGGTTGGTAGCTTGGGGCTGCTCTTTTATCCATCTTAGTTACTTACGGCGTGGGTGGCATCAGAGCACCTTCTACCAGCTTCTGCTGGTGGCCCAGCTGGACAGGCATAGCATAGCTTCAGTAGTCTACACTCCGGTCATCTCCAACCTGGTTTATTGCAATGCACTTTCCATGGGGCTACCCCTGAAGATGGTTCAGAAGCTGCAGCTGGTACAGAATACAGCAGCCAGATTAGTAAATATATAAATAAGGCTCATTTCAATAGCAAAGATCCTGAGATGTACTCAGAAGGAAGATATGTTCAGCAGACGTCCCTGCAGCATTGATTTTGCAGCTTTTGCCCATCTTACTGCTTTCAGTTCTGTGCAATAGCAGCAGTACAGACAACTGCCAGCCTAACCAGAGACTATAAAGTGCAATTTAATTCCTGTTCAGCAGAACAGGAATTTGTTTTCCTTTCAATATTATGTCTTGTTTGAAAATAGTTCTATTTTGAATCTAAATAAACATAGGGAAAAACAATGAGAAGAAATCAGCAATGAGTCTTAGAGCACTGTCAGTAGTTCCTTCCTCTATACCTGTAGAAAAAAGAATTAGTCAGTTGCATTTTCTATGAAAAAGTTGTTTAAATCACTACAAACTGGATTTGAGAAAAGTGAGAGAACACAGAAAAGATCAAACACAGGTGGAACTTGGGAGAAGTGATCCATTCCCAGAAGAATAAAAGGCTTCAGCTCAGTCCAAACCTTGGATAATAAGTCTTAACTGGAATTTTTAGGTGCTGCGGCCTGCTCTGTTGCTTGTGTGGTTTTTGTTACAATCAAAACATGACGAGTTTTCTCTCCCGCTGCCATCCTGCCCATATCTGCTCTATCATGAAAATAAAATGCCCATGGTACTCTCAAGTTCAAAATCAAGAAATGATCTTGGTCACCAACAGATCAGTGAAATAAGATATTTTATTAGGTATAGCTACTGTTTAAAATCCAATATGTGAATTTGTATGTTGCAGAGTTACCACATTACATTCATATTTACAATAAATAGTGTGTTTCTCCTAAAACATATTACAATCCAAATAACACTTTCCACTCTAGAATAATAGGTAAGATTAAACATTCTGGTAGTTTCCCAACCTTTTAGCAGGCAATCTGTATTCAGGTGTCTATCTTTGGCCTTCCATGTTCTCAGTTAATTTCTCAACGTGCCTAACAAACATGTCAGTTTCAGCAGGTTCCAGTGAAGGAAAGGGAGGAAAATACAAGACAGTTTTGGTGCCCTTGTTATAAATCATTTTCTGGCTTGGTTCTATAAAAATGTAAACAAGCATAGCTGGCTAGGATGGTGCTTAGATAATTGAGGAAGACCGTGATTTAAAGCCTTCAAGGACCTTCACAGATAGTCTCCTGGAGGAATGTCCACTCTCTTCTACTGCCTTGTCAGAATTACATGCAGCCAACATCTGCAGAAGAAACTGAAGCAGACAAATACACAAATTATTCTGCTATGGAGAAATAAGATACATGGAGGGCTATAGTTTTGTTGCAGTAACACTGATTTCTTGGCTTAATATTCCATGCCACATTCCCCTAACCCTAACCCTAACCCTATGTGCTATTGTATTTCAATGTATTTTATCGTGTTGTAAGCCGCCCCGAGGTTTCGGCAAGGGGCGGCATAGAAATGTTATAATAATAATAATAATAATAACAACAACAACAACAACATTAACCATTTTCTGACAACTGCCTCAAGCATTACGTCAATACATCAAAATGAGGGGCAGGGTTGTAGTCCAACAAATCTGAAGGCACCTAGTTTCCACATCAGTGGTATAGGAAATATTTAGCAACCAACATTAGTCAGGAGTAGATTTGAAAAGGTCACTATTCCATATCGTGCTGCTAAGCACTCACACAACCTTTGAAGTTTGTATGTAAACCTGTCTGGAAAGGCTGCAGTCCCATCCAGCAGGTGGAGACTGAGTATTGAAGGGACTTAATCCACATACTGGCTGCTTCCCCTATTGAATCCCATAACAATAGTCATAGCAGATAGATCAGAGGAAGGGCCTGCACATACACCAATTGTGACATTCCATTCCTACTCAAACTAGAGATTTATATACAGCAGCCAGATTTCATAGGTTATGCCTCTTTGCTGGACCAAGAGAATTATGTTTGGGATCAAGGGTTACCTTTAGCTGAAGTCCTGACTAGCCCGGTTAATGCATGTCTGAGCCCTGTGCTCAGGATAAGCCACTTTCTCTGCTTCAAACTAGGCAGAATTTCCCCACCCTGCTAGGAGGCTAATTTCTCTTTGAGGTAATATTTGTCTGGTGAAGGGGCTCAAGGGGGTGCAGCCTATATTCAATAAAACTTCGCCACTCATTTCTCCTGAATGTATCAACTGGGTTGAAAACAAGACAAAGAGGAAGCGTCAGTTGGGAACAACATGTATCTTTGGACTCCACACATCTCCAAGAGGTGTCTAAAACAGTTTATTCATTTTTAAATTGTCTGTAGGGCGAGTAGAAAAAATCCTTTTTCAAAGATATGGGAGGAAGGAAAAAGGACTTCTTAAACTGCTTTATTTTATCTTCATGAAGCTTCTCCATGCGTTCAGCTGAAGAACTGGTTGCCTTCTCTTTTTCAGCATTTTTCTCCCTGCTCTTCTTTGTGTTTTGAGTTTGGGCTTTCTCTGTTAGATTGCCAGAACTTTTGGATATGGGAACAGCTCGATCCTATAAATGTTTATTAATACAATCACAGAAAAGTTTTGGAGCCAGACCTGGTAGTATTAGCTCCTGCACGACTCTATGCTCCCCGTATTCCATGGTAAGGACCTGTCAGAGAGCTACACTGAGGTGGTTGTGTTTGAAACAGATTCTAAAGGGCATATCCACGCCAACCATAAAGATACTCAGCCAATCCGGTGATGGAAATGTGCATAAAAAGGCTAGAATGTGCGTTTCATCATGTGATGCTCCCTCATTATGCCTGCTTCTTGAATGGAGCTTTGTTCCTAGTCCCTGCTGTTTCTAGGACTAGTGTCCCTCATTTGAGAGTCCTGGGCTGTGTTCCTACGGGAGCCTTGTACAGTTCTGGCTAAGCTTGTGTGATGCCTATCATGGATGTGATAATTTAGCAAAAACGGGGGGCTGTTAAACAGCCAGCACCAGCCACACCAGCAGTAGGCCAAATATGTTTTGGTGGGTCACAAACTGGACAAGTGTGATGAAGAACACGTTTGCCAACATAAAAACCGTGGGCTGGATCCAGACTTGGTCACGTGCAGAGGACGGCTATTTATTGCAGTGAGACGTCAGCTGGTCACAGGTGCGGCCAAGCCTGGATTCAACACCAAAGCAGCTGTGACTCCAGTGCGGAGCTCCAGCTACGTGGGCTGTGGCTGGGTGGCCGTACTCACCGCTGGTTTCCTGTAGCCTTTTGCGTCAAGGAATTTCTCAAACGCATAGGTTCCATGGAGTGGCATTTCTTCCCCTTCACCCTGCAAGACAGTTGGTTGATTTTTTCACATGAAAGAACACTTAAGTACAGTTAGAAGATGCTGATTGGAAAATATCACCCCTCATGATTCATGCCAATGCTGCCATCCTTGACGCCAAAAGCAGAACACCTCTGAAGGTAGAAGGAATGCCTCCCAGTGGGAGCTAGGATGGTTCAAGGAAGGTTAAGTGATAGGCAGAGATGACTCACTATCTTCGCACTAGGCAAGGGAAGGAGCCACAAGGCAGGACTATGTATAAGGAGGTGACAAAAGAGAAGTCTGCAGTTTTTGGAGTGAATCTCAGAGACACACCATGGGCGGAGCTGCTCTCTGCACTAATCCTGTGGCATTGATGGTTCCTCAAGACTCACAGACATGGGGCTCTCCTACACAAGGTGTTAATCTGCTGCATCTCCTTTCAGTTTCATTGTAGACTTGCAAGCTGAGCACTAGCTGAAGAGCGTTTCTTCTCTTGTGCTTCCACCATGTTACAGCTAGATGGCACTGTGGTACAGCAGAATAGTGCAAGCATGCAAGAGAAAATTGTGCTTTCTTTCACCATCACAAACAGTACCTCATTTTCCCTGCTGACCTTCGGGATCGCCTGTAACTTTTCACAACACAAAGTGTTGTGGATACTTCCAGTACCTTTTGTGCCTTCTTCTTTCTTAGCTTTAGAAAAGCTTTTAGAGATTCAGGAATTTCATCTTGCTCGCCTACTCTTTTCTTTTTCCATTTTTTTGGGTGAAGGTACCAGGCTCCATATTTAATCTTCTCCCATTTCGGTTCAGAAGCTGTTCTCTAAAACAAGAATATATATATTAGGTTTGTTTTTATAACCTCTTGGTCATTTTGTAAAGATGTGTCTTGTGTTTATGATGACTCATCATGGCAAAATAATATTTAGCAAATAATATTTATCATTTAGTTATTCTTTTATATCTGTTTGTTCACAGCACTTCAGATACATTCTATAGTTATAAGGCTCAGAGAAGTTAGGCTGCTATTATCACCCTCATAGCTGAAGAAAAGGTCTTCTTATGCCACCTGAACTTCTGAATCAACTCACAACCATGGAGCCAAAGTGCATGGTATGTTCCAATTTGTGTAACTACAGCTTAATTACACTGTGTGTGTGGGTGGGAGCTTTGAGAGAAGCAGTGAGGAAAGGGGCACTCTGGTGTTTCCCCTCCCAATTCCTCTAAATCATCCTCCAAGCAGCTCTTGCACCCCTGGAGGGTTTCCAATCAGCGTTGCCATCACAAAGTTGGCAGCTGCATGACCAGAGAAGGGGAAAAGACAGCTGCCCTGTGGCTCATAATTATCTCCCAGCGGCTCTTCAAGCTGAAAAAAAGGATTGTTGGGCAGTAAGTGTCATGCTTCCTCCCTCTGGAAGAAGGCTCCTGAACCAAGCATCACGGAGGAGTTGGGTTTGTTTGGGGAGCTTGCACTGTTTACAGGCCACTGGCCCCAGTCCTCACGTAGCCCTTTTCAAATGCAAACAGCAAAGGGCCAAAGATACCAAAGATGCAGGCACTAAGAAATGCAGGCACCAAAAGGTTGCATCTTCGCCATCTGCCGGATGCAGAAGCACCTTTACTGGCGCACCATTTAGGGAATGCCCACTTCAAGGAGGCCTGCGCTGTTCTGCTGGTGGCAGACAAAGACTTTTTAAAATCTTCCTAGGCCTTTTATGGGCATTTGCTAAATCTGGTTTTAAATCTGCTGCTCAGATGTTTAATCGGTTGTGTTTTTTATTTGCTGTCTTGATTAAATCCAGTTTTTATTGCAAAGGTGCAGAACTGCAGTTGTACTCTCTGGTCAAGTATGGAGCCTCCTGGGTCATTGTTATTATTACACCTATATCCCACATATTTTCCTCCAGGAAGAAATCCTCCCCTAACAAATGGAGGTATTCCACCCCCCACACACACACACCAAATCCTCCCCTGCTACTGGATAACGGATGTGGGTGGTTGGGTCTCTGTTGGTGGTGCAAAGAAGAGGCCCAGGTGGGAGAGCTTGTGCCTAAGGAGGTGCTGCACATCACACAAAGACTGGGGCTTCCTGGTGTCGCCACTGTTCCTGCCGTGAGCTGAGCTGCTTCCACAGGTCGAGTTGTCCCCGGAGACACTGTGCACTGCGCAACGTCAGGGACTCAGCCTACAGCATGAAGAACTCCGTTGCTTGCAGTGCTAGCTAAGTCCCTTCCCTCCCTCCCTGCCCAGCATGGAGGACAGAAAGAGCGGGAGTGGAATCATGCTATGGGGGGGGGGGGGGCAATCCCACAGGCATTACCTGACCCATGGGAGGCCAGGTGTGGGCAGTTTGGCCTCTTACCCTTCAAGGATTGGTGATTTGGAGAATCCTGTGTCTTTTCTCCAGCGAAGAATGCTGCCCAAATATTCTTGCCCTCTAGAAATTACTTTGGGGTGTCACAAACAGCATGAGGGACCCTTTGCTGCTTGTGTAGTGACCCTACACTGACCTGAGACCTATTTGCACACTTGGGAAACAAAGGGCAAAGGCCTCTTGGTAGCCATGGGTCAAGAATGAGCACAAGCGAGAGTGATAAGAATGTGCCACTTCCTCACTTAGCTACAGATGATAGTTATGGCCACATTTGCAGATTTGTGAGATCTCACTAATACTAGTGAAGAGAGACGCTATTGACTTGTGAATCTTTATGCTTGTAGTGTTGTAGAACAGCCAGAATGGGGCAATATAAGAGCGTTGTTTTGTGCAAGAGGCAGGCTGCTGAACAGAGCTGTTGTTCTCTGATTTAAACCTGACATTCAGTTTTGTTTTTCTCTGATGATCAAAAGTCTCGGGAGCCTGAAAGCTTGACTGAAAGAGTGGCAGCAGTTGGAGTGGGGTGGAGAAGGGCAACCACAGGGGACAGATAAGCATGATCCATCTAAACACTGGCCTAAAGTACACACTGAAATAAAGCACCTGCTGGGTTTTTAGAACTGGTTTTAGTCAGAGCCTGCTCCTGTCAGCTTTATTATACAGGGGCACTGAAGGACTGCAGCAATGGTAGAAAGGCACGTCTTGCAAGAAGTAGCTCCACATTGAGGCAGCTCACCACAAAAACAACATTAAATTTTAAAAGCATACAATCAGAGAGCAATTCTCTGATAATGGCTTGGGATTGTTCAGAAAGACCTCTCCAAGGCCATGGATGGCTGCTTCTCAAACTGGACCTGCCCCCCTTCCTCCCAGCCTCTGGGACAGTTTCTATGGTAGTTCCTTCTGTAAGGTTGACACTGAAACCTTGTGGGGGGGGGAGCTGCATTGGGGGGCTGTGGGGAAAGGCGCTTCTTCTACCCTACCGACCCTAATTCATCTGGTGAAGGCAGATGGAGCAGGACCTTCTCAGGAGATCTAAATGTTCAGGCAGATATCTACAGAGATTGGTGATCCTTTGAGTACTCTAGATCCCAGCGGTAAGACAGCCCTTTAACTGGACCTGGATCCCATGGGGGACAACAGAGTGAGCACTGAGCCATTCTGCCCTGTGGAGAAATACTGCTGCACAAAAATGCAAAAGCTGCACAAGAGCACAACACTCCTGATGAGGTCTTAGAAGGTGTGTGTAGAGTACCTGCATTGTTATCTCCTACTTTTCGGACTGACTTGCTCTGGCCCACTTACCATGTCGGGGCTCTGAATACTCTTCCGGCATGGAATTCCCTCAGGGCACTCCCTCAGTTCTGGCGGCACATGATACAGCTCCACTATTTTAATGGGTGCCACGGACTTGGCTGTGGTTTCATAGCTTGTATCGAACAACTTCATGACCGTGGCTTCATCGATGTTATACTTTTCACCTCCCTGGAATGAGAAGCCAAACAAAGACTTTCGGGAGGCAACCTTTTCTGTCATGGGAAGTGCTCACTGGGGAAGATATTTCTAGAAAGTGACATTGTGGTCAATGGGCAAGGAACTGGTGACAACCTTTGTTCCTGAGGGGCGACAGCCCTGCCTGCCAGGGTCCTCCACACATACCCCTCCAAAACAGCAGTGGTGTGTTCCACTGCAGATTCTGCAGCGACGTGCTTCATCTCAGTTGACAGAGACATAGTCCAGATTTCATGTTTTTATTTGCTGTATTTACTGTATTTCTCTAGCGCCCAACAGCTGAAGGTCTCTGAGCTGCAGAACGTGCCAAGATGAAGGGGGGGGGGGTGCAGTAAACAAGAGTATGTCCACTGCCCAGGCACTGACAGTGCTGGCAAAACCGAAGTGCTTTACACTAGGGGAGACTGCAGCTGCATGAGAATTCGAGTGTGAATGCACCCTTCTTGGATTCTCCCTCTTCCCCTTGCCTCTTGCCTTACATTAATAAGTTAAAGAACACTAAGCGTAAGGGCAGTGAATTGGGAAATGGCTGAGCTGGCTGTGCACATCTTTGCAAAGCGGGAGATCTTTCACAAGGCTGACAATGTCATGCTACATATTCATTGTACTGTCACTTTTCATTGTTGCTGAATCATCAGGCCGCTTCAGAGAGGCCCTTTTAATTTCCTTTCCCTTCTTACTCAATTGCAAGAAGTTAAGCAATATATCTTAAGTTCCCCCATCACGTGCTTCAAGATTCTGATTTCAGAAACAACGCACAATCAGCTTCTACAGTGTCCATTAGCTCTATAAGCGAAAAATAGTAAGGGGAAAAGTAAGGGGAAATGTCTGTGCGTCTTACAGAGCAAATGTGTGTGTGCCCGACGCCCGGGACGCTGCCGGCCGCCTGCACCACGTGGCACCACCTGGCCGGCACGCGCTCAGTGCGCCCTGCTCGGCCCCCCACCCCCGACGCAGGTGATTGCTGTGCCACTCAGGGGGAGCAGTGTGGAGGAGGAGGAGCTTTAACCCGCCGGCTGCACGGAGAGATGGACTGCTCACCCCCACCGCCCGGGAAGACCTGCCGCTGCTGCGCCGCCCGGAAGACCACTGCTGGCACACTGCCGGCCCGGCTGCACCACGTGGCACCACCTGGCCAGCACGTGCTCGGCATGGTCCCCCTGCTCCGCTCCCCTCCTCCGGCGCAGGTGAGAGCTGTTAATCACAGGTCGGTGTGTGTTTTCAAATGGCAACCCGTCTTTTAATGAAGCCCATGGAGAAGTGATGGGGAATGTGCCTGTGATTATCAGGAAGCTTTCCATGGATCCCTCCTCTAAAAACTAGGTGCGTCTTATGGTCAGGTGAGTCTTATAGAGCGAAAAATACAGTACTCCTGCAATTACGCATCTCTTGGCTTACCATTGCGCTGACCCATTCACAGAACTCCTTCGTTACACGCTTTACATTCTCATCCAAGGGAGGTACATAGGCTATTTTGGCTGCCCTCTCTCTCTCGGCCACCTCTTGCTTGCTAAACCATGTGTACGGGTTCTTCTTTTTAGGCAACCAGGGTCTAAAGACACAAGAAAGACATAAGCAGCATCAAATATCTGTAATACACTCCAATGTCTGCGAATGATGATCCTGCAACATTACACATTGTCAGTTCTCACTGATTCATCAGACCTGAGGCTGAAATGTTTCAGAATTGCTTGTTTCTAGATCCATCCATTCTCCACAGGCCTGAAATTAGATTTGTTCCTTTTACTTCTGCTTCATATCTCATTTGTTACTGGAAAGAGGCAGGAATGACACGGTTCAATTGCCATGGGATTCCCATGTTAGTATAGAGTGCATTGGAGAAATTCAGATACATCCTGGTAGGAAAAGGTTGCTTATATGTGCCTTTGTGTTCTAAAATCAAACCTGCAACATTTCTGTACCTCTTTCTCAGAAAGTACCAGACTTTCAAAGCAGACTTCTGTTTAGCGTTATTTTCAAAGCTGCTCCTTTGAGAGAGATGGCTACTACCTTTGGTTGTAAAAGCCTTTGCAGGATGGGGCTCCCAAGGAAAGTTAACCCTTGTCTATTCTTGGGCTAACAGCAAACAAAACTGCTGAGGCGGCCAGACAAGTTTTTCTAGCAGTATGGCAATCACCCTTATTTGCATGCCAAGTCCCACAATAATCCCTGTACCTCAGTGATCATTATGTTAATCTCTTGTAACCAGTGCTATTGTATTAAGTCTCTGCTAAGCAATCACATTCTTTTCACTATGCTCCCCTTATTTCGTCATCACCTGACCATTTGCTATGACATGTGACTCCGAACCGATAAAACATCGTGCATATGTTCTGGAGGCTTGTAGTTGGCCTGGCCTCTACCCAGCAGCGCTGTTGTAATTGCAGAGGGTGCCTGAGTGATCTTTCAATAAACTGTTGAGGTTCAAGGCAAAAGGTGTCTTCCCTACTGAATTCCAGGTTCATTCTCACGGCTGCTATCAAGATGCCCCGACAAGTATAACCCCTAAAATGGAACCCACCATCTTTATGAGTTCAGCTGCCATTGCCAGCCCTTGGGATGGATCAAGGCAGTGAATACTTTGGAGATCACCTTTGCTGTGGGAGCTCTGGATAAATGGCTTGCAGATATTTATCATTTCGTGTGGTTTCGTTTTAAGGAAAGGGGAAGAGAGCAGAATGGATGTTCCCTGGCAACAAGGGGGACCTGCCAGAGCAAGTCTTCCCTGCCCTCTTCTTACATGCAGGTAAGCTGTTGCATCATTGCTACTTAAAAGGAATGTAGAAGTACATTACACAAAACATAACCACCTGATGTACACTTTGACAATGGGAAAGGGGGGGGGGTTCTCCCTCTCCCATAACACTTGAACCTGGCATCCTCCCATGAAGCTGATTAAGGGAAGTTTAGGACAAGCAAGAGGAAATAATTCTTCACACAAGGTATAGTTGAGCCATGCAATGTGCTGCCACAGCAAGTGGTGATAGCCACAAATCTGGATGGCTGTAAAAAGGGATTATACAGGGTCATGACGGAGGAAGCTACCAGTGGCTACTAGCCTTGCTGGCTTTGTGCTTCCACCTTTACCAGAGGCAGCAAGCCTGCATACACCAGCTGCTGAGGAACTGGGCAGGAGACCTTGCACCCATCCTGCTTGAGGGATCCTGTGGGCAGCTGGTTGGCCACTGTGTCTACAGAGTACTGGACTAGATGGACCTGGGGTCTGATCCAGCATGGCTTGTGCTCATTTTCAAGTCACATCACAGCCCTGATTTCATTTCAAGGGCTACTTTAGGGAAGCCACTAGCTTTTGCCTTGTACATTTCACTTGTTCCAGTACTCACAGGACAGGGGGGCTGTAGCTGATCTCTGGTGGCGTTTCACAGTGCAGTTCATGCGGAACAGGGATATTCACTTCACTTTTGCTTTCATCAGGGGAGACTCTGGTCAGATCCATCTCCGGGTCCAGGAGCCTCATGACATCACGAAAAAGCTGAGGGTAAAGTAATGGAAAGGCCAAGGTCTGGGATACTTTACCAATAGGTTTTCCTCCTTTCAGAACAATCCCATGTTGTAGGCATGTTTGATGAAATTTCTTGGAAACTGTGTTGCAGGAGGATATACTGAAGATCAGAAGTCATAGACTTCAAGTATAACTAAATCTGCGCTTTTCTTTCCAATCATATATCACATTAATTGGGTTGACATGACATGACATGACATGACATCCCATCATGGGTGACATGCTACCATGGGTTCTCCTGTTGTAGAAACCTAGACCACTACTCACAGGATGGATGGTTCATGGGCAACAAGCCACCCTGACAACCTATGGAAGGTAGAAAAGTATAAGTCACTTTCTTATGGGAGCATGAAGATTTTAAAAGGAAGTGTTTGGACAGGACTAATGGGGGGTGGGAGGGGCATATGCATATGCATGTCAAAAAGAAAATAAATCTGGGAAGCCCTGTCAAAAAGCCTCTTTTAAAGGGAAATCTGGATGTGACAGCTGTCAACACTGATAGCTCTCCTTAAAGGGTTGGCCTGCACTTTTCCACCCAGAGGCTTCGGAGATGCACAATCGCAAGAAGAAGCAAAGGGGAGGGGGATGTTGTGCTGGCCACAACCTTTGCAGTCAATAAACCCTTGCCCACCTTTTGACAGCTGTCATGGCAAATCAAAGTAAAAGATAAAGCTTTTTGCAGTTTCTGTGTGTCAATGTACACAGAAGGTGCCAAAGCACAGAGGACATTTCCTAGGCCATTCCCCAGGTAAGGATGCCGATGTGCAGGGCTACCTGTACAAGCCCTGTACAAGTCCAACAGATGCTTTTGAAGCATGCAAAGCAAACGTGCAGATTTGTGGCAGAGAGAGGAGATGAGGCTTTAACCACCTGGGATACAGGGTGGGGGGAAGCTGGGCAGGGTGGGGGGGAGGGAGGGGAGACCAGCCATGATTAGTGTAAGTGTCTGCCGGGTGTTCTTCAGTAAACAACCAGCCCACAGTTGGCTATTCACAGGATGGGTTAGCATGAAATGTGAACTCGCCCAATGTGGCATATCTAGTTCAATTTGTGTCACAGATCTGTCTCACGATATTGAACACTTGGGGTTAAGCCATGGTCCTTGCAAAAACCAATTTTTAGCAACAGAAAAAGGCCTACAGGCCCTAGCATTCCACAGCCTGTCATGCTGGCTGGAGAATGCTAAGAGCAACATGCACAGTATTCCACCTTTCATCTTTTTCATGTTAGGATTGTAATCTGCATTCATGCAAAGTATGGGAATATCTACCCTGGCGATACTTTGGTCAAGCAGAAATATCTGGAGATGGAAAATTCAAAGGAAAGCAGAATGTCTGCCTTGTAAGGATGAGCACAGTGGATTGATGGTGAGCTGGGGATTATTTACCTCTTTGGGCATACTCTCCTCCAGATGAGGATAAAGTGCTAGTGGGTGTTGGTTCAGGCAGCGCTCAGTTTGGGCAATGAAATCCTTCTTGGTCTTCTGTGCTGCACTCAGCTTAGAGCAGACGACTTTGCTTTTGTTCTGCTGTTCTCTGGTTTTATATGGCACAATCTGTGAATGGTCAGTATTTTTGTAATGCACAATTATTGGTATAGGGCCCCTTTTGCCATGAATGATTATGTTGTCAGAAGAACGAGGGCAGCCATTTCGGAAATCATCCAGGCCACTTTTCAGAAACCTCCAGCGCTGGGCATTGAGGGCATCCGAGAACCTCTCTTTGTTAGTGATGCGTTCTTGAAAGTACTTGGAGGGCAACTTCTTCTTATACCTGAAGTAAAAAGCTATAGTCAGTGTTTAAAACAAATGAATCCCAGCATGGATAGCACCCATCTCCACTGAAAGTCAACCCTCTTTCTTAGCAGAATTCTAATGCTAACGCCATTATTATTTTGTTTTCTGCCCTCAACCAGCATTTCTGAGACTAAAATGAATACCACACCATACATTGCATGTTTGGATAACTTCTATGCACAAAAAACAAAATGAGCGCTAACAAATTCTCTTCAGAATCTGCAGGCTCAAGTGCAACCTGGGGTGTGCATTTCTGGTCCATCAAAACATTTATGCGCTCCCCAGTTTTGAGTTTGGCTTCCATTTGGAAGGAAAGATCACTGCAGAGACACACGGCATTTTTGTAATATTTGGTTTATTTACAAATGTTCAAGCAGGGCATGGCTGGAGGGACCACACTTACAATGGGGACCCCCACATCTGATTCCAAGGGGGAAGCACCCAGTGCCCGAAAGTTGGCTTTAGCCTTTGGCTAATTCTCTGCATGTGTCTCTCTAGATGGCTCCTATCCTTTCCCCATTTTCTCCTCTCATAAACATACCCCTGCCCCTCAGTTGATATTCGGGTCATCTTTTCCAAATGATTGCCACTTTCTACTCAGACTATTTCAGAGAAATCTCATTTTTTTTAGTAGATCCCATCAAGGAAAGATCTACCAGCCACAAAACCCATGTGCATGGGTTGAATTTGTAACACCACTCCTTCCTAAAGAGAGGCACAGCCTAATACATTTAAATACTATTTTTTCTGTAAAAGAGAATTAAAATTGAAGGAAGTATTTTGGAAAACCTACATGACTAGCTAAGTCAAAGCACAAAATCTCTGTAAGGTTATGAGTTTCACTGACATGATTAAACCAAGGACATGAAAGTCCCACTTATGACATCAGAGCAACATGACAATTATGCAGCTAAGAGATTTCAATGGCCTGAATATCTTCAAGTGCAGCATGTATTTGTCTTTGCCATTGCAAAACACACAGCCACAAAATCTGAGCAGTAATGATACTTCACAATGTAATTTTTCTTGTGATCCCAACTATCCAAACCCCATATCACAGAGAAGCCTTGAAAACAGTTTTGAAAATCAACAAAAAGTTTCACAAATGCCACAGTAATGTAATATCTCATCGTCCGGGGGCTAAATGTCATTCCAGGAATCTAGCACTGAATTCAGTGATCTGCTTAGCAAACGGTACAGCCACTCCTGCGTCAATCATAATATTTTGCAGTGGACGGTCAGCCACGCAGGCTGCTTTGTATCTTTTCCTCCTTCTGCTCACAGAAGTGACAAGAAATTATGGAGATGGCATTCAGCAGGGGATCAAACTAGCAGAGAGAGATCCTGGTAATTGAAATGACATGTCAGGTGACTGGTATGAAGGTCTTGCGCTGATCTCGCATGCAGTCCAGTCAATGCACATGAACTGATGGTTCATGAAAAGAGGGAAAACTGAGGAAGTGCCGTGGCACCGTGCCTTGAGAGGGATTCATTACAGCTGCACTCACCTCTACTTGTTCTGAAATGCATGTTGCAGTGGAGATGATAGCAAATAATGTGGTTGCACAAGGATACATGCTGAAGTGCAAGCACTTCTCAAAATGTAGGCACTTGCCTTTCTCTATAGGAACAACCTAGTGGAGGAGTTTTCAACTGCTGCATGGTCTATTTTTTTAATTAATGGGTCTTAACTGCTCATTCAGGACCAAACCTCCCCAAAATACTTTACATTACAACAAGGAACTATATTCAGCAGCTGGGAAAATTCATTTCCTTTCCCTCATTCATCTGCAGCTATTGTGAAGCCTGAAGTTAAGCTTGGCTGGAACAGGGAATTCTGAGCGGTGGAATGGCAGATGACATCTTCACAAGAAAATACCAGTACTCAGTCCTTGTGAGCCCAGGCTGCACTACACTGTGGTGGGTATCTTACAGAATCAGTGAACACTACAAAAAAAATGTTATTGATGCAAGGAAACAGGCTGACTTCAAGGGCCCCATGTTTTCGGCTTGTTTCCTTTGAAAGCAAATCATAGAAGAGGTGGAAGGGGTCAGAGGGCCATCGGGCCCAACCCCCTCCTCAGTGCAGAACCCCAAGTCAAACCGTTCCTCTCAGGTGGCTTTCCGGTTGCATTGTGGATGCCTCCAAAGTGGGAGATCCCACAACCTCCCGAGCTCGTGGTTTCCTTTGCCATACTGCTCTAGCACTCAGGAAAGTTTTCCTGATATCTAGCTGGAATTCAGCTTCCTGTTACTGGATCCCATTATTTCGTGTCCTGCACTCTGGGATGTTCGAGAAGAGATGCTGCCCTTCCTCTTTGTGACAGTCTTTCACCTCTTTGAAGAGTGCTATCCTTTCTCCCCTCAGTCTTCTCGTCTCCAGGCTAAACTTGCCCAGTTCTTTCCATGTCTCCTCACAGGGCTTTGTTTTCAGTCCCTGGATCCTCCTTGTTGCCCTCCTCTGATCCCTTGCAGTTTGTCTGCAGCTTCTTAAATGGTGATGTCCAGAACTGGGGTACAAGACTCCAGATGAGGTCTGACCAGTGCTGAGTAAGGGGGAACTAGTACTTCATGTGATTTGGAAGTGATAGTTCTGTTAACAGAGCCTAAAATAGCATTTGCCCTTTTTGCAGGCAAACATCACATTGTTGACTCATATTCAGCATGTGAGCTACAACAATTTGAAGATCGTTCTTCTTGGAAACATCAACTTTTGAAGGCTATTCTCAATTAAGGAACAATTCTAATGGTATGATAGCAACCATTCTATGACAACAGAGGAATTTGTGAATGGAAGCTAAGAGGAACTTGGCCCTGTAGTTGCCAATAAACTACACAGAAAGTTTAATGATTCTCCCTTTCCTTTTCCTTCCCCTTCCCCTTTTCATGTCTTTTCTATACCACCCAATAGCCAAAGCTCTCTGAGAGATTTATTATTATCATCATTACTATTATTATTACTATGATCATGATGATTATTATTGCATTGATATCCTGCCTTTTTCCTTTTGCAAGGAACCCAATGTACATGGTCCTCCTCCTCTTTATTTTATCCTGACAACAGTCCTGTGAGGTAAGTTAGACTGAGAATCTGCAGCAATTGCACCAAATTCACCCAGTGTGCATCATGGTCAAGTGGGGATTTGAACCCTCCAACCACGGCACCACACTGGTTCTGCTCTCAACGTGGATCACCTCCCTTGCGTTCCTGCCTGGTCTTTCTGCTACTCAGGAGGAGTTCATCCGATGCTGCTGAGTTTGGCCTCAGAAGCACCTAAAACAGCATATTTGGTGTGGCATACTCGCCATTTGGAACTTGCTGCACCTTGGCCTCAAACAGGCAGCATTCTCCACTTCGATCTTGAGATGTCTGCTCAAAGCCCAGCTCTTTATGCAGGCTTTCCCTGAGGGGTGACCAGCTAGTATGGTTATATTCAAGCAGCAATTATTTTATTGCACCTTCTTTGTTATAGCTCATGCATTTATTATTTTTGTTAACTGCTTTGCTCATTCATGGCAAAGCAGTACATAAATTTATGTGATAAATAAATAAATAAATAAATAAATAGAGTACCAGATTACAAACGGATTGGATGGCTGAGAGAAAGCAATTTAATAATTTTCCCTTGAACTGTTTTGTGTCTGTGACATGACTCCAGTTTTTCCTTTTACTGATTTATATTCCATTCTGTTTAGAGGCATATTGCCATTCCTGGTTTGGTGAAAGCCCACTGTAGATTAATAAAGTGATTCAATGTTAAATTCCGCACTTAATCAATTATGTATCATACATTGACGCCATCAGAATCTTCTTTTCACTTTGAGTTTGAATCCTTCTTTTAGATGTCACAAATATAGTTTCCTACTAAATTGGTACCAGAATAATTTCTGTTGCAAGGTACAATTTATTCAAGATTAGTCTGTATATAGATTGTACTTATGAGAATATACGGTGGTACCTTGGCTCATGAACTTAATCTGTTCCATGACTCTGGTTGTGACCCAAATTGGTTGTGACCTAAGTCAAATTTCCCCATAAGGTTCAATGTAAATAAGGTTAATCCATTCTGTAACTATTTTTTTAATCAGAAAAATTTGAAGCAAAGTGACAAAGAACAACAAAGTAACAAAGTACTGTACAGTACAGTGGAGAACACTAACCTAGGTCGGGGGGGAGGTTATTGTTTTGAGGGAGAGTCCCCCTCCATAAGGACACTGGGGAGATCTCTTTCAGGGGTTTCCTCTCTCCTTTGTCTCTTAGGTAGCTGCAGGTTCAATTTTGGTGAAAAATCTGTCTATTGTCACTTGTTTTTTGTATAGTCACTCAGGGAGGTGGGGAGATGGCCGTGATTGTGCTGGTTGGTGGGGGGGAGATGGCTGAGATTGTGCCCGTCTTTCCTGCAGGAGCGTGCCCGTGATCACGCACATCTTCCCTGCATGAACGCAACTGCGATCGTTACCATCTCCCCACTCGGGGGGGGGGGGGGAGATGGCTGCAATCTTGATTGCCACCCAATGTGGAGTTTATGACCCAACGTCTTCGTGAACCAAGGCGTTCATGAGCCGAGGTACCACTGTATGTACAAAAACCCACCAAAGAACAGTAGAACACTGTTTTAGAGGTGTAGAAATTGCAGTAGCTTTTTTCATCAAGAACAGATTCCTTGATCACAAATAATGCTGTTTAGACCACAAAAACAATATTCCTATACATCTGTAAGAGAAAACAACCCAGTCTGTACATGCGACTCTCAATTCCTAGGTTAAATCAGCCAGCAATCAGTGTAGTCACATGAGAGCAAAAATCCCAGCACTGTTGCCACTTTTGCTTTTCCAAATAACCCAGGATCAGTGCTGCTGTTATTGTGAAGTTCAAACCAGGAACTCTGGGCTGTTTATGGGTTAATAAGCCCAGGACTAATCCAACAATCTTTCATGTCTGTTGTCTTACAGGTAGGGAACAATATTTAAACATAATTGCAATATGTCTCACCACAATTGGGAGGACTGGGTGTTCTCCAAGTTGATGGGTAATTTCAGAACTGCTCATTGACTGTTTAAACATGAGTGTTGATTTTTAAACTAGACTTGGATTGGACAGCCCTACAAATGATGACTTCAAACAGAGGACTGCTCTCTACAAAGTAGGGTGCATGGCCACCCTAGTTCAAAAAGCAGACTTAATCTGAGATCCAGATTAGATCCAGTCTTTCCATGATGTCTGAACACCTCAGGAAAGATGTATCTCTTAAAATAACAAAAACAACTACTGTCTACCTACAACCACAAAGCTAATGAGAATCCTTCCTGCACGCTCACTCAACTAAATTTTCTTTTCTCACCATGGGGTGGAGTTCATGCTGACAGATGCAAGGTGGGTGGGGAAGCTCTTATGTTGATGAGATGAAGGTCTCGGCTGCTTCTTTGCAAAGGAAGTAAGAATAACACAAGCTATGTGATTCCAGCTTCCATCAGCCCATTGAAGTCAGCCATTCATTCACCCATACACCATAAAGCCTTTGGTTGCTAGGAGACCATGGCCAGGTTGTGGTGACAGTTAGGTGGAGGAA